GTCTTTTGGTCTTAAATAACAAATCAAAATCCACTCATAGTCCAACTGCTTTGAATATGCTAAACTTTCAATAAGGGACACTAAAATTAATCTTTTTCTCCTTCAGAGTATTAGAATAGTGCTTTGTATAAAAACTACTTTCAGCAGCATTTGCATAATTACTACATGGTATGTGCTGCGCTAATTAAAAGTTCTTACAATTTTTACTCTTTGCAATAACCATCTGCGGTAGTGCTTTTATCTCAGTTTTTAGAAGAGGATACTGAAGCCTGTAGTGATGTAACAACTAGCCCAAAGTCCTTGAATAAATACTTGGCAGTTGGGATTTGGATGCAGATCTAAGGCTGTACAGAACTCAAACTCTGAAACCGAGTAATCTTCTGCTCAATACATAATTAAGTTTACTAAGTTGATTAATGTTTTGTCCTTTAATTTGGCTAAAATGGACAACGAGGACCCAGATTTAGTTTCTAAATATCAGGCTTCACTAGAAAAAGGCAGAGGCAAAGAAGACACAAGATAAGCCTGGAAAAAATCTTACTGTACTAGGAAACAAAAAGTTTCAAAGAATAATGAGATATGCCAAAAGGAAAGAGGCCAGCTTAGAGGGGTTCTCTCTGGGTCAGCCCTAAAGTAACTGGTTAAAACTTTAGTGTATTCACATAATGGAATCTTAATGCGGAAATACAGAGAATGAACTACTGATACAAGTAACAAGAGAGATGAATCTCAAAGCATAATCTTAAATACAAAATAATTCATGTGATTCAAAGTATATGAAATTCTACAAATAGCCAAACAATAGTATAGAAAGCAGATCAGATTAGAAGCAAGAGAGGGGGGTAGGGGAATGACTGCAAAGGGGCATGATGGAAGTTTTTAAAGACAAGGAGACTGAGCTATTCTCTATCATTTTTGTGGTAGAGGCTGTACACTTAAAATTGATGAAATTAAGTTAAAACTCAATAAAACTAAAGTTTTTTTAAAAAAGATTTATTTTTATTTATTTATGCATATAAGAGCTGGGGTCTAGGCCAGGGGCGGTGCAGGGGTGGTGAGAGGATTCACCAGAGACACAGTGGGGAGCAGGACAGGCAGATCTATTGAAACTCACTGCTGAGGGGAGCAGCAGGGAGTGATAGCAGAGGTCTGCTGCACCATGCAGGTTAGCTCCCTGGCTGGGGATTGAACTCATACCACAGTGGTTGGTGATATCTTGATACTGCTGAGACTTTAACCCCTGCACCACCAGGATGGCCCAGAACTAGTTTTTAAAATAAAATAAAAATAAAAGGGACTATAGCCTATTGAGTACATTTTACTATTTTTTTTTATGGGAAGAGAAAAGTTCTCACAGAAAAACGCCAATTAATACATGTAAAAAAAATGGTAAGATAGGAAGGTAACCATTTGGCACCATATTTTTATGAGTTCGTTGACAAGTGTGGTCAGTTCATAGTTACTGGAACGTGATCACATTTCAAATATTTTAAGCAGCTATTAAATTGTACTTTATGTTTCAATGGACTCAGAGTACCACCAAAATTGAGAATACAATGAGTATGAGTCATTCTTTGAGTCTAGTGTAGTCAATTGTCTCTGAAGTTCTGGGCTTTCTGGAAGGGACCAGGAAAAAGAATAACTATAAGAAAGAAAAAAATCAAAATCAACAAACAACTATAAACCAGAGACACACTATGGGGGGAGGGCCGGGAAAGGAGGGATTGGGGTCAAAATAAGGGGGGTGAAATTGTATGGAGAATATAAAAATAAATTATTAAAAAAATATCAGATGGCAATTCAGGGAAATCCTGAATTAATTAAGACATCATTGTCTTCTTTAAACTTTCCTATCGTGGGTGGTGTTAAAAAATAAATACACCTATGTAAAATAAAATTTAATACAAGAAAAAAAAAAGAAAAGTTCTCACGATGGTATTTGACACATACTTGTTCGCAAACACGAGATCAATACACTACTTAAATCCTTCTGTGCAATTTCCCAAAGTATTCTTTTTTTAAGGGCAGAAAATCTAAGCTATCTATCCACAATGAAGTTGGCCTCGCTGAAAAAAAAAATAATCACATCGCACGGACCTAAGACAAACCAGGAAAGTGACAGGTCCGACGTTTACGCTGACGTTTTACTACATCCGTAGCGTGTGTAGTAAAGAAACCCCATCAGTCCGCACTGCACTGGGTGTTCCAGCAATTACCCTGCCACCTTTAATTGAAAAAAAGTGTAACCTCAGTAAATGCTACTACGACCGTCTACCTTGCTCCCTTTGCACGCGATGAAATATAAAGAAAAATCGAATTAAGTGGACTGATGCTCTTTTCTGAAAGAAGGGAGAAAGCGAAGTAAGATACTAGTCACGGGTGGAGGGGATGTTAAAAAAGGGAGGTTCAAAGATAATGGTATTTTCAGTTTTGTAGTGTTATTTCTACGAACTATCTTGTCGAACAGCTCTACCTGTCAGGGCACAGACGGCGAGGGGAGCGAAGCCACTGAGGTACAGTCCGGGGGAGAGGGGCAGGCCCAATCTCCCAGACGTGGCCGCCACTGCGCCAACCCGGCGCGACGCCCTTAGCCTCCCCGCACCCTCCCGGGCTGATGCAAGCGATCGACGGCCTGGGCCCCTTACCCAACGGAGGGTCCCCGGAATTCACGGTCAGACAGAGTGTCGCCATCTTCCCAGCTCAGCCGGTCTACCAGTCAGTGCGCTTGCCTGGCCGCCCCAACCACGCTAAACACGCCGAAAGCTTCAAGATGCAACGTGTAAGCGCGCCGGACAGAGCCGCAGCCGTCGCCCCGCCCCTGCGCCGTAGCCGACACCGACGCCGCGCACGGCTTGCGTCATCTCCGCGCGCTGTCGCAGTCGCCGTCGCACCCGTGGGCTGCTTGGCCTTCGACCCCGCCCCCCCGGCGGCTAGACGCGTATGGCCGACGTGGAGTTCGACGTCGCCAGGGAAAGAAGCGGCTGCGCACTAGGCTTTACGACAGTTCGTAAAGCGAGGAAGGCAAACTGTAAAATCATTACGTGAAGCCGGAAAGGAAATCTGCACGGGATCCGTGTTCCTAACCCGGAAACCGAAGTTTATGGTGGAGCGGGGGGAATCAGGAATGTTTTCTGTTTACAGGTTTGGGTTTTTTTTTCCGAAGGAGGATATATATTTGAAAGTTATTTTTATACTTGAAGGTAATGGTTAAATGGGAGGGTGTATTTATAAACGGCGTTACTAAAAGCCCCTGCCCCGTTTTGCTTGGCTTTGCTTGCTTGGACTGGATAAGGTGCTTTCACAGGATCATCTGATTCCTCCTCTTAAACCTCTTTGACTTGTGAGCAGGCATACTCCAGAGGACTAGGGAACTGACTGTAAAACATCTGGGTGAAAAACAAACGGGTCCAAAATAGATTCACCCAAGCGCCACCCAAAAGTGGAACTTTAAACCAATCAACCTGGCATTTCTTGGTCAGCTCCAGTGAGGAAATCTGCATGATAAGATACCCACCTCCTCCATTCCCAAAGGGACTGTGGTTTTGCCTTAAATAACCGTTCTTGTCCCACCCACTTTTCTGACTATAAAACAACTTCCATTTTACACAACTCCTGCACCTTTCCACTTGTTAAATGGGATGCTGTCCGATTCAGAAGACATTTAATAAAAGTCACAGTTCAAAACTTACCCAGATGAATTTTGTTTTTTAACAATCCCAATCATCTCTCAACATAATCACTGCCCCCATTTTCTTTTTTTTTTATATATTTCTTTTCACTTTTATTTTTTTTTAAATAATAAATTTTATTTTTATATTCCCCATACAATTGCAGCCCCCCCATTCTGACCCCAATCCCTCCCCTCCCGCCCCCCGCCCCCCAAAAAGTGTCTCTGGTTCATAGTTTTTTGTTGATTTTGATTTTCACTTTCTTATAGTTATTCATTTTCCTGGTCCCTTATTTAAGTTTTCTAGATTCCTGCTATGAGTGAGACCATCCGGTGTTTTTCTTTTTCTTTTTGGCTTATTTCGCTGAGCATGATCCCTTCCAGCGCCATCCATGTTGCTGCAAATTGCATGTGTTTATCTTTTTTGAATGCTGAGTAATATTCCATGGTATATATGTACCACATCTTCTTGATCCAGTCATCTATTTTTGGGCATTTGGGTTGTTTCCAAAGCTTAGCTATTGTAAACAGTGCTGCTATAAACATAGGGGTGCAGGTGTTCTTTGGAATTGATGTTTCTGTGTCCTTTGAGTAAATACCTAGGAGTGGAATTGCTGGATCATATGAAAGCTCTATGTTTAGTAGGTCCAGAAATCTCCACACAGCTCTCCATAGTGGTTGGACCAGTTTGCACTCCCACCAACAGTGCAGGAGAGTTCCTTTTTCTCCACACCCTCGCCAACATTTGTTGTTGCTAGTTTTTTTAATATGTGCCATTCTCACTGGTGTAAGATGGTATCTCATGGTAGTTTTGATTTGCATTTCCCTGATGACAAGTGATGTTGAACATTTTTTCATATGCCTGTTGGCCATTTGCATTTCCTCTTCAGAGAAGTTTCTTTTTAGCTCTTCTGCCCATTTTTTTTTTTAATAGAGGCATGTTTTTTATTTATTTATTTATTCGTTTGTTTGTTTGTTTTGTTTATACATGCACTGGGTACAGTCAGAAGCGCGGGAGGGTGAGAGAATTCACCAGAGCCAGAGCGGGGAGCAGAGCAGGCAGAAGGACCGAAGTACACTGCTGAGGGGAGCAGCGGGCGGCAGGAGAGGTCTGCACGCCATGTGGGACCCTCCTCCAGTGGCCGGAGAGCAGCCAGGGATCGAACCGGCGCCGCAGAGGCCGCGGGCAGCTTCGCAACCCAGCGCTCAACCGCTGCGCCACCGGGGAGGCCCTCTTCTGCCCATTTTTTGACTGGATTATTTTCTTTGTTGTTGAGTCTCATCAGCTCTTTGCAGATTTTTGTGATCAGTCCTTTATCATTAGTGTTGGGTGCAAAAATGTTCTCCCAGTTGGTGGGGTTTCTCTTTGTTTTTGTTATTGTCTCTTTTGCTGTGCAGAAGCTCTTTAATTTGATGTAGTCCCAGCTGTTTATCTTTGCCTTCACTATCACTGCTTTGGGTGATGTGTCTGTAAAGATGTCTTTGATGTGCAAATTACATAGTGTTTCGCCTATATTTCCTTCTATATATTTTATGGTTTCAGGTCTTATGTCTAGTTCTTTAATCCATTTTGAGTTGATTTTTGTGTATGGTGTGAGGTAGTGGTCAAGCTTCATTCTTTTGCATGCCCCCATTTTCTCTTAACCTCCTAAAGACATCCCTGTTTTCAGTGGGGATACTGCTTAGATTAAATGAAACTTGAGTGTTTGAGCGATGACAAGGGAGTCCCAACACACCCTCAAAGATGATTATGTCTTCACATAGCCCTCTCCAGACTAGAAAAGGCACCTACATCAGAATAAAACCTCTCACCCTACAGCTATCTCCGAAACAGATTTTGTAGGGATGAGGTAGAAACTGTGAACCTGTACTTTGTGAAGTTTCCTAGGTGATTTGTATGCGCAGCTGGGTTTGAGGATGATTAATTTAAACCAGGTACTTAATCTAGTAGCAGAGAAATTTATTGAAAAACACTAGACAGAGACCTAAAATAGGCAGAATGTTGGAAGAATTTTGATAGCATATATCATAATCTCCCAATGGAAGGAATAAAGGCCATACTTAACTTTCTACAGTTAAACAATATGATGAAACCATAAGAATGTCCATAATAGAGAATTTATGGTTTTCAAATACTTACAAATATTAAAAAGCTGGTTAATACCATGAACTAGAATTAAATAATTTATTATAAAGAAACTTTTCCCATAAATCTGTTTCATCAACATATATGACATTTTAGTATATTCATAACTGGTGTAGGAAAACTTTAAAAATTACTGTGAAAAACAAGAACGACATTCAGATAACTTGTGATTCTGTGCTCTAAAGTAATTTGGTTTGTACATAGGAATGTTGATTAAACAACTGACCTGAATGGTCAGTTGCAACAAAACCTTCCTTTCATTTCTCCATATAGAAGGAGGAAAGAGACATATGATATTGACTTTATAAATTTTCCAGATGTCAAAATTGGTCTGGTTGATTAACTATCAAGATAAGTTCCTTAAACCTATATTCTACTCCTAAATAACTAAATATAAATTGCTGATCAGCAATGAATAAAGTAAAGGTGGAGCCTAATTCCACTGAATCTGTTTTAAATGTATTATTTTGAGAACTGAGTCCCTCTCCTAATGAGATTGTTTTTTATGGAACAAGGGCATTTTTTACAGATTGTGGAACTCGACTTGCATAGTAGTCATAATTCCTCAGTGTGGCCAGCACCCCTGCAGAGTTCATGTGCTTCACCTCCTTGTTATACTGAAGGGCATTTCCATGGATATCAGTTAACTTGCCTGTGGAAGAAACATTAATACAGTATTAATGGCTGATTGGATCATTAGGTTTCTAGTTATTTTTAAGTGATTTTTGCTTCTTTATCAATAATGTGCAATTAATTCTGGATACAAAAGGACGATAATGAGTGACCATAAAGTTTAAGTTTTAATTCACTTGAAATTTAAGACTGTAGAGCAATTGTGACTAATTGAAGCATAAAAATTTATTTTTTCTCCCTGATTAAATGTAATTTAATTAAGCATTTTCAATTTATATTTTTTTTAAAGATTTATTTATTTATGCATACAAGAGCTGGGGTACAGGCCAGAGATGCAGGGGGTGAGAGGATTCACCAGAGACAGAGTGGGGAACAGAACAGGCAGACTGACCGAAATATACTGCTGAAGGGAGCAGTGGGCAAGACAGGAGAGGTCTGCCTCGCCATGTGGGTTTCTCCCAGGCTGACGGGGGCTGCGGATTACTTCATAGTGTGGTGCTTAACCCCTAGCATCAATTAATTTTCCTTTTCCTGAGGCAGTTACTCTCCCTATTTGTTATACTTCATCACCACTATTCCCATTTTCCAAAGTGGTTCTTCCTTCCAGAATTTAATATTAACATTTAATTTGGTAATAGCTGAAATGAAGTATGTACATAAACTAGAATTGTATAATACTATATTATATAAGTTTCATTTAACATCTAGATGAGGATGGATTGTGATGAATTTAACTTCTTTGTCATGAATTATGGTATCAGAGATCAACACCAACTATATTAGGAAAATGAGAGAATAAAAAATCATGTGTTTTGCTTAACAGTAGATAGGAATTCATGTCTATTTGAAAGTAAAAAATAATTTTATTGTGTACATATTTGTAATATTTTCATTTAGATGTTTTAAAAATCTAACTTTATGATCTTAAATATAGATCATTATTTGCTTAAAAGAAATAAGTAAGGTGATGACAATAATAATGAGTATTTTACTTTTCAAGGAAAAAACCCATAAAAGTAAGGCTATCATATATCAATAAGGGTGTAATTAAACTGTACATAGAGTGTATTCCAAAGAAAAATGAAATTATTGAAAAGCTACTTTGTCATCTATGAAATGTAGGGGTATGGGGGAAGGGGAGGTGGAGTGGATAATCTCTAAATTTCCTCCTATCTCTTACAGCCTAAGAGTCTAGGTAAAGTAATAGGCTTGAAATACTCTCTTAGCAAGACATAAAAACTGTAATTTCCTGAAATGCAATGGACTGACCTCCCACGGCATGTAAAATAACTTCGGGGGCGCAAGTGTCCCACTTCTTACATCCAGGACTCGCAAATACATAAGCAGATGCTTTGCCTTCAATCAGCTGAATAATCTGCAAGGTAAAGATAACAATTGTCTCTCAACCAAGAGATGATATGAAGTACAAATAAGAAAAAGTGCTGTTTCTATCAAGTAGTTTTCATCGGTTCCTTTTATCAGACTCAACTTAGCGTAAAGCCTTATTTAGCTGGTTTAAATATCCGAGTGTTGAAATACAAAGATGATGTGCACAAGCCTGGTGACGTGAGGGGGAGAGAGGTCAGATAAGCTCAAGGATTTCAAGTTAGAGAAAATTTTCTGCTTTTAATGTTTTGTTTTTTCTTACTGCAAAACAAAATATATTTAATGGAGAAAATTTAAGTTTTAATCTTGTGGAAAACCTAACCAATATTATATAAAAGTTAGAGAAATATCAACCAGCCCACTAATAAGCTAGGCAATGGGAAGAGGAATGATCATGCCCCAGGGGCATGTTGGAGAAGGATAAGCTCCAACTGGGCATGATGAATTTGAGATACCTGGAGGAGGTCATAATGATGATACTCAGGTGTATCATCAATCAGATGAGATTAGGGCTAGGAATGTAGGTAACATTGTGTCCATTTCCCAGTTTCCTCAGGAGACAGAAGTCTAGATGAAAGAATGAGAGAAGCGTCCAGGATGGGGCTGACAGGCCCCTCATTAGAGTGGGTAGGACAAAGGTGTAGGTAGCAATCCAAGAGAGATTCCTAAGAAATTAAAGGCTGCCAAGAGACATGGGGTCTGATCCTAATGACTTATCACTGAACTCTGATTGAAAAAGACCTGAAGCATCAGATCTTTGTAAAATTCAAATGTCGCTGAAAGGTGCTTTTCATGGTAACATTACAAACTTTAATCTCTTCTAAAACTTATTTTACATTGTTTTAAAGCCCTGTAATTCAGTGGCATTTCAGAATGGATGACAAACATCTTTCATACCTTATTTCCTGCTCCACCCACACGCAGCACACTGTCAGGGTTCATGGCCGTAACACAGTCCGTAACCAACTTGTTGCTATGGGAACGGGTCGTTGTGACAATGTGCTTCCCTGCAGGCACTTCTTTCAGCTGAAACCCGAAGGCTCCTAAACCTAAAATGCCCCAGATTGTCCGTCCCAACTCGGCATCTGGTCCTGCCTGTGTGAGTGAGTGAAACAACAGCAAAGTTTGAAATCATTTGGAGAAAATGTTAGCTAGTTATAAATAGAATATGTAGTTATAGTCACCTTATGATAGTTAACAAATAAAAACATGCTAATGTCATGAAGTACAAGAACGGTATCATCAACAAAGCCGTTTTCCTAGGAGAATGAACTGGTTATTCTCATTTTGCTTCATAACAGGGTTTCCAAGGTTCTGATGGGAACTTTTGGGCTTTCCTGGGAGCTTTCCAGGAAAAGGGAACTAACTCCTGTCCCTCTCTGAATCATCCAGTGATTTCATGATTATATCTGAAAAAGCTGTTTGCAGAGGGCACTGCAATCTCAGGAACTAGAATGCCACATACCATTTCTGTTTGCCTAAGAAACACGAAGGGCTGTCACAGTGGGTATAGGTGGCAGCGATTGTGTATTTTGCTGTTATAAAGACAGAGTAACTAAATAGGCTGATACTGAGGAGTAGCCATGGATAAAGCAGTTGCAGTTAAAGATTTTACGGAGAATTTTAGTTGTAAAATGACAAGGAAGCAAACTTAGGGTCTCTCCTTTCCTTTGCAGAGCTCAAAGAATTTTCAACTACATTACTGCAACTCTACATTTTATGTAGCAAAGCATAACCTGCATTTCATGGAAAGTAAAGCTGATGCACAAAATGATTAACTTGAAGTCCTCAAAATACCATAATATTAAGATACTAAGCAGATACTGTACACTACAGTCATATACTTCACAAATACTAAGCATGTACCACACCCGAGACTAAGTGTTTACATGTATTATCTCACTGCATCGTTCCAACAACCCCATGAAGGTGGTCTGATCCTCTTTGTTTCACAGATGAGAAAAGTGAGCTTCGGAATCAGTGAGTAACCTGACCAAAGAGTTCTAGGAGCCTCAAAATCAAACTTCTCTGTTCAAGGTCAGTATTCTTTTTCACTAAACTCTACTGCCTCAGGGAGCTTGTCAGGTGCTTCCAAACAGAACCCCTGAAGCACCCCACAACAGTGCCCTGCGTGCTGTAAGAGTGACATATGCTGATGTGACAGGATGGATCCCCTGGGCAGCACAGAGGGAAGGAAGCTGGAGTGGGCAGAGAACGAAATTGTGATGTTCTTGTGATGCAACAAGAAGACAGATTCAGTTAACCCAATGAGCACTCTGAGGCTCGGAGGGCCCTTCAGAGTGGTGCCAAAGTGGGATGAAATGCTAGCTTTATTCCCATGCAATAATCCATCAGTGGAAATGGAGTTCCTTGGGAAGAGTGTGTCACTGGGCAGGGCCACGCTTTAGAGGTGAGGCAATCCCTGAGCGGCAGACAGGTGAAGGTCTTCTGCTCATGTACTCCCTGCCGCCAGGCCCGCAGAGGAAGCAGTGAACACACACTAGGCTCTCAATGCATGTGCATGTGCTTCTCGTGTTCCCTCTTGGGGTGATATCACAGGAGAGGCTGGAATCTGGAAAGGACAGATAGGCTCGATGGTGGCTTGAGCTGCTGCTGAGGATTCAGCTTGACCACTGGGATGGATTTCATGAGTTCAAGAAACCTACCATGTTTATTAATTCAGCTTTCCAGTCATTCTGAAATATGAAAGGAGAGTGTACTAAAGTGTAGACCTGAGGATTCTGGTCTCTAAAAAATCATATCCCTCTGGAAAAGAATATGTAGCCATGAGGATGAGACAAAGGACTCTGGTGTGCAGGTGGAGTTAATGCCACCGCACAAAGCAGTCCCCAGCCTTCCTCTGTGCTCCTGACTACTTTTCTCTCACTGACTCACCTTCAAAAGCTCCACACTAGGGCCTCGCTGGTGGCTCAAGGGGTTAAGTCTCAGCACTACGAATCTATCGGCCACCACTGCAGCATGAGTTCAATCCCTGACCAGGGAGCTGACCTACATGGCACAGCAGACCTCTCCTGACTCACCAGCTGCTCCCCTCAGCAGTGTATTTCAGTAGATCTGCCTGTTCTGCTCCCCCCTCTTGTCTCTGGTGAATCCTCTCACTGCCCCCCTGTACCTTTGGCCTTGTATGTAAAGTTAAGTCAAACTTAGTTCTTGTATGCATAAATAAATAAATTTTTTTTTAAAAAAAAACAAGCTCCATACCAACTCTCGGCAGGGAAGGAGTGGAGAAAAGGCCAGTCTTTTCATCTCACTGGTGAGTTTATTAAGGTTCACAATGTTTAACATACAAGCTCTGGAATAAAGATGCACTGGTGGGTTTTTTGTTTTTGTTTTTGCACTAAGCTATGCTCTTTCGATTAGGTGTCTACCAGCTTCAGTATTTGTTAGAAGCAGTTACAAAGTCTAAATTAAGTCTTTTATCTGGCTCAAGAGAGTAATACAGACAAAGGGTAAAAACTTGGATAGGGGTTGAATCCCATAGCTGCCACTAAACAATTGGGTCAAGGGCAAGTCCCTTGCCTCAGTTTACTCTTCTTTAAAACAGGGACAAAGATGTCATTGAAGGACTGCATTGCATATTAAATGAGATAATACTTTGAGTATTACCTTACTCAGCAGAGTAAGCTATTGATACATTTAGCTGTGGTTATGATGATTATTATTCAAAATGGAAGAGTCAACTGCTGTCCTCGTTGTTGGAATGAATTATAAGGCAAAGAGGCAAGAGAAAAGGGAGAAAATGAGGGTACGAAAAGGAATGTGGTGAAGAGAGATGACAAAGGAGATGACAGGAGAAAATGAACTGTATGTGGAATGGACATGACAAACCTGGTGCACGGGTGGCCTACCCCTTTCCTACCTGCTGGTGGGGCCAAAACTCTAGCTATTTTTCTCACCTTTGCTTCATTCCTGGCTTCCCTTAACTTCTCCTTTTCATTGTTCTGTGGAAAATGAATACAATTTTTCTAATCTGAGAAAGAAGTGATGGAAATTATTAACAACTGCTAAGCACTTATCTCTTTTTTGATGAAAATGCCATGCATTACAAAGTTAGCTATGCAGGATTACCCTTCTTTTAAATACTATATACAAGTATTAACTTAAAGTTATAAATTAGCACAAATTTGTGTCTTCATATAAAAATACATTAGAGGCATATTAAAAGAACTAACGTCCATATAAACAGTTCAATAAGACATTCCCAGTAATGCAGAACTATTTTAGTTAAATAATTCTAAAAAGCATATGATTGTAGATAAAACATTCTTTAGAAATGTCAGGAAAAAAAAACATTTACTTTAGCAGAAGATATTAATCTTGCTCTTAACTCAACCTGGAAATTCAGAAGTTTTAATCCCTATTTTGTTTCTTAAAATTTTTCTAAGTACACTATGAAAATACCTTAAAAGTTTTATCTTGACCTTTAAAATATATTGTGATTTAATGATATACTCCTGCTTTGGAACTACATTGGTCTGATGTTTCTTAGGAAGATAATTTCTTGAAAGTATAACAGGAAGTCAAAGCAGATTAGAGAGAGAAAGTGGGAGGAAGAGAGCAAGAGCACATTTAGTCCTGTTATCAGCACCAGCTGGACTACCAGCATGTTGTCTTGGCAGAAATAATTTGTTTCTTCAGTGTGCCAAGAACCACCTATAAATCAGGTATCTTGAGGACCAAGCTAATCAAGGACCATTTGGGTTATTTCCAAACTTTTGCATTTGAATTAGCAGGAATGCATAAAAATATATGTAATGTACACAGTGCACACACATCTACAAAAATGTACATTCTTGAAATCAATGAGCTCAAAAGTTCTAATTCAATAGGTCTGGGATGTGAATCTGCATTCTTAAAAGCTCTCCAGATTACTGCATGTGCAACCAAGCTAGCTGCCCCTGGATTAGACACACCAGGAGCACAGAACACACTATGGTCAGTTACCTCACAGGATCTTTTTGTATTGCTCAGTCATACCTGGTAGTTGTAATATGGCTGGTTAATAACTCCTGCAATGGCTTTTCCTTCATAAGCAATTCCAATAAGGACTGTTACATTATCAAGAAGACCTATGAAGAAGAAATAAGTATCAACCAGATGCTCTCATGTTATGACTCATCTTTAGCACACCCACTGTTCCAAGTTGTTTTTTCAGTAAAGGTAAGGAATTTGCAAGAACTCTTTCAGGATCCATCTTATCGAAAAATGCACAAATTATAGGAGAACTGACCAGAGATAGTAGGGTCCATGCCACTTAACAAAACTGGCAATTATTTTCTCATCAGTATGATTTGTAAACTAAATAAAGCATGACTGAAGCCAGTATCATTTGATTCTCCTGTACGCCATTTGCCTCCTCACCCCCATCTGCTGAGTCACCCTTTTCCAGGATCTCTCTCTGCACTCAACATTCCAGACTCCAAAGCAAGGTATCTCCAAGTGAGGGGCATAGACTAACAAACAGCATTAGGATTAACTAGCAACATTTTTACAATGCAGATTCTCGGCTGTCTGGGTACTTGTATATACTGAAGCTGTCTAGAGCTTCTCTGTTTCCCGGTGGATTACAGAGACATTTTCAGTGCATACACACAACTCACTCATTATAGATCTGACTCGTCCAAGCAAAGAAAAGTAGTTTTTTCTAGTCATTGAGAATATTTTTTAAGCCATGAAGCTGAGAACCAAAATAAGAAACCCACAAAGATCTTCATTTAAAATATAGAACTCTAAGCTTATGCTTTGCTCCAAAAACTCTAGCACTCAGTCTGTTTCTTCTTACTTTCCTGTTAGCAATTTTATTGTAATTTGCTGCTTTCTCAACCCAAATGCCCAAAAATAGATGACTGGATCAAGAAGATGTGGCACATATACACAATGGAATATTATTCAGCAATCAAAAAAGATAAACTCATGCCATTTGCAGCAACATGGATCAAACTAGAAGGAATTATGCTCAGTGAAATAAGCCAGAAGGAAAAAGAAAAATATCAGATGGTTTCACTTATAGCAGGATAATAGGGGAACCAAATTAAGACATCAGTATAAAAAAATAATTAACAGTACAAAACACAACAAAGCAAAAACAGATGATTATAAATCAGACATACTGCAAGGGAGGACGAAGGAGAGGGATGGGGGGAGGGAGGGAGGGAGGAGCCCAGGGGACTGAGGTGATGGTGCACGGGTGCATTGGGGAAGGAAACTCTATGGGGACTACACCTGAGGGGGTGGGGGAAGCAAATATTGTTTAAAAATGAACAATGATTTAAAAAATTTTAAAAATTAATACTAAAATAAATAAATAAATAAATAATTTGCTTTCTATTTTTTCTCATTTTAAATAATTTCAGAGAGGAGGAACAGTATACTGTGTTTCAAAACCCACATTTAAAGGGAGGCTGTGATGTGAAAAAGTGGTTTGAAGATAGAAGAAAGCGGGATGGGCATGGGAGGCTGGTGGTGGCTGAGAAGGACAGGACATCTGCTCCGTGTTGTCTTTCTATTTTTTTTTAAAAAATTTATTTATTTATTTATGCAAGCACTGGGTACAGTCAGAAGCGCAGGAGGGTGAGAGAATTCACCAGAGCCAGAGCGGGGTACAGAACAGGCAAACCGACAAAATACACTGCTAAGGGGAGCAGCGGGCGGTAGGAGAGGTCTGCTTGCCATGTGGGACCCTCGCTGGTGGCCAGGGACCGAACCGGCACTGCAGAGGCTGTGGGCAGCTTTACAGCCCTGCGCTTAACGGTGGCGCCACCAAGGGGAGGCACTGCATTGTCTTTCTATTAATAAAGCTGGGGGTTCATTATTGTTTAAAGATGGGTTTAGTGTGTTAGTTATCTCATCTGGAGGACATCTGGATTGTGGGGCTGGTAGAGTGTGTATAGTGATGACATCATTGGCCTATAAGAGTTATCAAGGATGAGCACAAATAAGCTATAGGACAGACACAGAAAATATGGACACCAGCTTTTCACATAACATATGAAATGGCAAATGTTTACAAGTGAACATCATATACCAATCCTGCTGTCATGTTCAAAGACAAAAGAGATACTAACCTTCAGTATATTCCTTGGTACCATCTAGAGGATCAACCCAGACCACAAGCTAAAAAAAGAAAAAAAAATATATCCAAATTAAAGGAAGATGTGTTATAGATACACAATGGAATACTACTCAGCTACAAAAAGAGACTCCATGTTGGGACAACATGGATGGAACTGGAGGGGATCATGCCAAGTGAAATAAGTCAAAAAGAGAAGAATAAATATTGGATCGCTTCACTTATATGTGGAATATAAAGAAACAAGACAAAGGATAAGATAGTACCAATCAATTAACAAACCCTAGAAATCTGTATGAAAGGGGTAGGGGGAAGGAGGGGGGCAGAGCACAATGGACCATAGTGAAGGACCCTGGGTGCCTTGGTGAGGTGTGGTAACGTACATCTGAAGAGGTATGATCCTACACTTCTGAATCACATACAGTGTTAAAAACCTATGTTACCTCAATAAAATTAAAATTAAAAACAAGTATATTTCTCCCGCCCCAATTTTGGAAACTAAAGACATAAAGACAAACTCCAGACATCTCTGAAGCCAGGGATTTAATGTGAGCAACTATAATAAAAGTAACCAAAGGGATTTCTATGGCCTGTTATAGATAAGGTAGGGATGTGTTTCACCTCTTCCCAGCCCCAATTACTCATCAAATGCTTTACTACCAAACTTATAAGTTAGATGTATTGCATAAAAACACAGTATTAATAGCTGCAGAGTGGAGAGGAAACCAGCAGAATGAGAAAGCCAGACATTCTGTGTGGTTGCCTGATACTTCTGTGTTGCCCTAAAAGATCTCAAGTTCTTGATTGTCTGCATTTTATAACTACTAACAGGCAAACTTTATTTCCTTTACTGTGATGAAAATGAAGAATAGAGAGTTAAAGTAATACTCAGGAGCATACGTCTTCCTCTTTGATGGCACTGTACTGTGATGGGCACGGCTGCTTCAGAATCTCCTCCCACTGACCATCTTCAATCAGCTCCTGATCGACTTCTTCCGAGGGCAGATCCTAAAGCAGGAACATGGGATGTTACTAAAGCTTTCAACTCACTCTGATTTTTCTCATTATTAGAAGAACCGCAGCACCATAGTTTGCCCTAGTCCTTCCTATTCATGATGTATGTCCAGAGCTTTTAAAGAAAACCAAAAAAAATTGCAAAAATGACCATATGTGGCTCATCAAAGTTGACTACAAAGGGTCACAATGCCAATATCCTAAGTGGAATTTAACATTAAAAGAATGTTTAAGTGTAAAAACTTATTGAAACAGGGACTCTGACATTAGATACTTCCAGTCTCTCAATTGCATGAGGTGTCAATTCTTTCACTGTTACCATGTTCCCATCTCTGGGAAAGTATGCAAGTAAACCTGATTAAAAACAAAACCCAGAAGCAGCAAAACCCATCTCATTCCGAAGTTCTAGAACTCTGTCATCTTACAGTTTAATGCCAATTATGAACAGTAGTTATATCGTCTGTGGTGAAGAACTGCAACATCAGCCTAGAAATGGGCCAATATATTTTAAAATCAGATATTTCCTGTAAGTCCAAGGACTACATTAATGGCTTTTGTATTAAAAACACTAGATATAATACTTGAGATCACAACAGTGGTATACACATAATTAAAGTGGTAATTATCAGTTCACATGGTAAGCAAGGATTAAAACAACACTATATCCCTGAGAAGTCTTACCTCTTCCCCTATGATCGTTAGTTTGGGGAATTTCCGTGCCAGTGACGAACATATACTCATTTGCACCAGGCGGTCAGCTTTGGTCTGCAGGTCAGTCGCGCAGGTCTGCAACAAAGAACACGAATTGTAGAATTACTATGAAATGTGTAGTCTTCTGATTCCGTGAGTGCTTGTTTCACCATCTGTTTTTATTTTATTTTTTTTTTAATATTAAATTTTATTTTTATATTCCCCCATACAATTGCAAATGCCCCATTCTGACCCCAATCCTTCCCCTCCCGCCCCCCACCCCCAAAAAGTAAAAATATGGAACGCTTCACGAATTTGCGTGTCATCCTTGCGCAGGGGCCATGCTAATCTTCTCTGTATCGTTCCAATTTTAGTATATGTGCTGCCGAAGCGAGCACCACCATCTGTTTTTAGACTCATGGAACTTAACACACCAAATGAATCAACCAGTTTCTTGGTGTGGCTATTCTCACGGGATTGATAGTGGCTTCAGTTTGGAAAGGAGCTTTTAAATTATGTAGTACATTATCTCCCCAATTCATAAATTGCTATCATAAGCAACTGCTCTAATCTCTTGCTTAACAGGAAATTCATAACTTTTCAAGGCAGTCAAAGGTAAAAACAGTACCTCTAATTACTGCAAAGATATCCCATATATGGATTCTTCAGTAACTTTTACTCACTAATCTCAATCCTAACAATTCAAGAGGCCCCCAAGGACAATTCTTTATATAGACAATTTCTTTCATACAGAAAGAATTCCCATTTCTAAAATAAAAAAATATGAAACAAACAGCAGAATACTTACTATATGGCTCACCTATGAGCCCCGCCCCCCCCATTCTACATATTAGAAGGTCACACTCCAGAAACAAAGTAGAAAACCTTGAGATTGAGTCACAACCTCCTTTGTTTCTTTGCTTTCAGAGAATTATGACATGTTGCAATTTGTAGATGCCTGGCTAGGTGGATTTACAGATTATATTAAACAATAGAATTTTCACAATACTCTGTAAAGGAATGATCATGAAAAGCAAACCACTTAATGCCACACTAAAGTTTGCTGGTTATCTCAATGCGAAGTACTATTTTGCTAGCATGTAGAGCCACAAAGACAGTGTCTCTGACACATAGTAGGTGCTTTATAAATAAATGTACAGTGAAACTACTTAAAAGCATTGTTAAATCTGAAAATTTCTTACAACTCAAACAAGTTTAGAGACCATTTCTCCAGAGAAAAACAGAAATGACAGGCATTTGATTATATTAAGGAAGCCATAGCAACCTTTTTCTTCTCTAAAATAAATAGTTTCTGCTCTTTCTACTGACAAAGTGCCAGACCTCATCATTCTGAGTCCTTGGTGTGACAAATCTGATTTTGCTCTTTTAAAATAAGGTGTCAACAGGTGAATGCAAAGTATGAGCAGTGCCTGACCAGCAAGGAGGATAGTGAGAGTATTACTTCCTAACTTGAACACTGTATTTCTATTACACCTAAGTTACCAGCTACAAAGTGGCACAGCTGCTATCATGACAAAATAAAATCAATTTAAACAAAATAAGTGATGGTAGAGAAAAAAATTGGAAAGAAACAATCCATGATACTGGCAGTGTTAGTATGATGGATGACGGCTGTACTTTTTCTAATTTTTTCCATTCCTATTTTAAGAGAAAATGATAAAAAAGACAATAAGATTAGTAGCCTTGTGAAAGTAGCTGTTTTACATTGTTGGTGTATCTTTGATAGTGGAAGTGGTCAACTAAAACCTTTTTCCATTCCTGTGATAATATCCTGTTGAATTTAGCCAATGTTTCTCAAAGTCTGCAAATATTTTTAATACATATTCTTTGATCTAATACATCAACTGGTCCTCCTAGCTTCACTTCATTGCCAACTTTATAAGCATACTTCTCTGTATCCTCCTCTTCCATAACATTATAAATATTTTAAATCGTATTTAAGTAAATGCTTAAAGAGAAACGGACAGAGCTAGAGGACAGTCCTATAATGTTTTACCAAGGATGTTTTCGGGTTGAAAATTAGTTACAATTTTGGGTAACACTGTTCACCCAGTTATGAATATACCTAATGGTGGATCAAGATGTCATCTATAGATTTACTAATGACTTGAATCTTTCTTTGAAAATGAAAAATAAGAGACTGTAACAAATTTTTTTCTTACGACAAGACACCGTATGTCTATTTCCTATACTACTAAGTCAATAATTCCATCAGAAAAGGAAATGATACTACTTCTATTTGTTCTTATGATTTCTACTCTTAATTTTTAAAAGTATTCCTATTGAATAGCATAATTGGCTCACAGGAACTTGTTTCTAAGTTGATTTTTACTCATATATATGGTCCTCAATTTTTTAGATGCCTGATTTCACTGTAATTCTTTTTAAATCACTGAAGTGTTAATGGTGAAGCATATCCTGTAATTTTCTCACTAGGGTAAAATTATAATACAATCTTCCTTAAAGAATCTGAGAAAAAGTCAACATATGGAAACCTGTATTTAAAAATTGTAGTATGAAATATAGCTAAATCTTAGAAAGGAAATGGTATTTTAAATTAGAGCACAGGCATATTGGGATTTTTTTAAAGGCTGAGGATACAGACCAGTCAAACTGCATTCTATACTAAACAGGAAAAAAAGCCTAGGAAAAAGGTGAAAAACTATGTTTTCTGCCCCTCATGTCTCACAACATGTGGTGGCATTGCTTTTAAGAATCATGTATCCCGGGCCTCCCTTGTGGTGCAAGTGGTTTAGACGCAACCTATGAAGCTATCCACAGCCACTGCAGCACGAGTTCAATCCCTGACCAGGGAAATACCCATATGGCACAGCAGACCTCTCCTGACTTGCCCGCTGCTCCCCTCAGCAGTATATTTTATTCAATCTGCCTGTTCTGTTCCCCACTCTGTTTCTGGTGAATCCTCTCACCACCCACACCTCTGGCCTGTACCCCAGTTCTTGTATGCATAAATAAATAATTTTTTTTAAAAAAGAGAGAATTATGTACCCTGGTGGCACAGGAGTTAAAGTCTCAGCTCTATCAAGCTATTGCCAGCCACTGCAGCATGAGTTCAATCCCCCACCAGAGAGCTGACCCAAATGGCACAGCAGACCTCTCCTTTCTCTCCTGCTGCTCCCCTCAGCAGTGTATTTCAGTAGATCTTCCTGTTCTGCTCCCCACTCTGGTGAATCCTCTCACCCCCTGCACCTCTGGCCTACACTCCAGTTCTTGTATCCATAAATAAATAAAATTAAATCTTAAAAAAAAAAAAACGCTTGGATATATGGGGTTCTGATTTGATTTTTAGCAAACACATCAAGTTCACTAAGGACTGCGTGACTTTGCATATGATAGATTTTAGGATTTGAAGCTCAGTTACAATGCTTTGGGGCTGGACACAGTCAGAAGGCCCAGTCATGTAAGTTCAGTCATATAACACTGGCTTTGGCTACAAGAAGTCTGGAGTCATTTTCAAAGTAGAAACAGGGCTCATGTGAATTAGGGATCTTGTGATTTCTGTAAGGGATCATTGATCATTTTGTATTAAAGTTGGCACAGGTTATTACAGCAGTCAGCTAATCTCAAGGAACAAAAATAAAGTTGGTATGAAACAAGATGAGGCTTTCAGTACCTTCTCCACGATACCCAAGTCTCCTTCAGCAATAACACGTCTGACTATCACGCCTGCCTTTTGAGCAACAGAGTATGCTGAGGCTACCAACCGCATCAGCACAGTGTGACCAGACGCCATGATGAGCCCTAGAGGGGGACTGAGAGAGATGCTGTTACCTTCAAAGTCAACTACAGGTTTCATGAACTTGAATTCTACCCAACACATATAATCGGCACTTACCTGGGGCTGCACCAATTAACTGTAAATTATTACTAAAAGAAGATTAGAAAAAAACAAGGAATATATAGCATCAGGAATGTAAGTGCATGCATGGATTAATTAAAAAGGAGAGGACTGGATGGGACTACAATTCATTTCTGTAAATCAATGAATATCCCTTTAGAGTAAGTCAGTTAACTAAATATGATCACTCATCTGGAAACATGATGAATGTTAAGACAAGTCCCTGGTCCCAATGAGAAATATAGAAAAAACAGCCTTTAGGATGAAGTATATTGCTCTTTGAAAATATAAATGTACACCCTGCAATTCCAGTGAGTATTCTGATGCTGGAAAGTGCCACCCAAACTCCTCCGGGACTGAAAGACATATTTCCCGGCTGCTAAGAGTAAAGCAAACAGGTGCCCTTCAGCTGCCATCTTTCTTTGAGACTATATCTGCTGAGAAGAGCCATTTCACTTGAACCTGGTCAACAGCAGGGGTTAAAGGCCACTGCCCCCTCTAACAGGGTTGCTGCCCCAACTGTGATGGGCATCCCTTCTTCCGAATGCCTATGGGGTCAGCTGAGGCCTTCCTGGTGCACATAGCATCATGACTCTCAACTTGCCCCCCATCCACCCCAGTTCTATTGCTTCCCCTCCCACCAGCGGGACACTTTATCTCTGGGCCTTAGAATGTTTACTAGAAAGCAACCTATGACAAAAGATCTCCCACCACTAATCAAATCAGGTCAACATTATTTCAGTGCAGTAAGGGTACATGATACAGAACATGCAGGACATCGGAAACCTCAGATCAACAACAGTTCTCATTCTACCACCAGTTTCTGATGCATTTTAACCTCTTCCTAACTTTTTTTTTTCCATCATCTACATTCTATTCACAGTGATTATGAACAAAATTGAGACAATCAACAAGTATTTAAATCCTATCAGAAGAAGACAGAATTGTAATCGGTAAGGTCATGACCCACTGTGTCCAGAATGAAGTGGAAATTAAAGGGGTTTGTCTCTATATTTGAATTGAGTTTATTTACATCAACATTTCATTATACTATGAACATTTATTTACTACATTTATTTACTAGTTTATTTACTACATCAACATTTCATTATACTATATTATGCCATTATATAATGTTCCTGGCATACCAAGCATTACAAGTGTAATAAACTTAAAATTATTACTTACGATATTTCGAACATCTCAAAGAGAGAAGTAATCTAGCCAATGCTTTGTTGGCCTGACCTCTACTTCCTTCTATCCATGACTAGTCAATATTGGGTTTATACTACAGTGGAAAAGGTTGTTGTCAGACAATTAATGGCATGACCCGGATGTCTTAAACATATTTTATTATGGGCTGGTATGCTCTACAGTCCTCATGTTATATAAGACTCCATTTGTGAAAGGCCAATCATTTTCCCTCCCTGTATGGTTTTGTTCTAGCTTTTCACAGGTATCATTTAGCCAGGTATCTTTCAGTCAGTTAAGCAATCATTCAAATGTTGTCAGGATTTATGTGACTTGATCAACCACTTCCTTCTGTGTGTGCTAAGTCCACAGTATTTTCTTCCAAACGTTTAGGCTTTGTCTTTCTATTACTTTCCTCATAAAATGTATAACTATATTTATAAACCACCATTTAAAAGGTAACAGTTTTTTAAGAATATAAGAAGTTAGATTTGATGGAAAGCACAACAATGAGCTATAAAGAAATCCAGAAAATCCTTTTTATTAATAGTTGGTAAATAGAAAATATTTCCACCATTTTCTCAGATGTTCTTCTTTGATCCAAAATGAATTAGTAAGGAAGTATTACTATCCCCTAGTCCAAACATTTTTCTTACATATTTTCTAAACACAAAAATAATTTTGGTATATTTTATATAAAGAAAATTTAGCTGATGATATTATGCAATATGCAAAATCTGTGAAAAAAGTTCTGGTAGTTTTTTAAATTATACCCCTCCCAGACTCCAAATGAGAATTACCTGTTGATGGCATAGGTAGACTCAGAGAAGGCCAAAAAGCTACCTGCAAACAGGTAACTTCCTTACAGCATTCAGGTTATACCTTCTCTACCAGTTTTTCAACCTTCTGGGTCATACACCACCTTTAGTGACTGTGTCTTTCTGAAAGCTTGCTGAAAAACAGCAGAGGTATTGAAGCCAACTATCTGTGTTCAAATCCTGGCTCTGGCACCTATTAGCTGTGTGGCCTACTTAAGCAGAGATGTGCCTCAAACTGTAAAATGAGATAACAGCAGTAGAGGGTTGTACTATATATTTTTCTCACCTGGCAATAAATAATTTTTGGTTCAGTTTTATGATGACAGTTTTTTTGACACTTTTTTTAGAGATTTATTTATTTATGCATACAAGAGCTGGGGTGTAGGCCAGAGGTGCAGGGATGGGGAGGTGAGAGGATTCACCAGAGACAGCGGGGAGTAGAACAGGCGGATCTACTGAAATACACTGCTAAGGGGAGCAGTGGGTGGGACATGAGAGGTCTGCTGTGCCATGTGGTTCAGCTCCCTGGTGGCGGATCAAACTCCAGCTGCAGTGGTGTGGATTGCTTCACAGTGCTAAGACTTAATCCCCTGAGTCAACAGGGAGGCCCTGGCAAACAATTTTTTAAAGTGTAATTCCTTCTTCTTCCTTTTTTTTTTTTTAAATACAAAGCTAATCCACAAACAAGTACAACCAAGACACTTTATCTCACACACTCCCATAGGAATTCCCTCCAATTTGCTGATCACTGACTAGGCCAGTGTGAAAGTAAGGGGAAGACTTTTTTTAAGTAGCACTGTGGTAGGGCTTGGGGGTATCAAGACTGAGAACAGGCTCTCATACCTGTCTCCATTAACACTTGCTGGGAGGAGAGGGGCCAAAGACCCTGGGACTGCAGACAAACACAGTGAGAATGGGTCCCCCTTCCCAAGAGAAAAGGAAACTACACGTTCCTCCCGCTGGCACAGGTGCGGTGAAACTGCATCCTTAGCCTAGATGGCTGGCTCTGGGCCTGCCTGTTTCTGGGGGCACCCTTGCATAGCCACATCCCTTAGCAAGGCTGTAGCAATCATTAAGTGACTGACACACATAAAGCACTTACAAGTTTTGGGACAGGTAAGCACTGTGTAATACCGATTAACCATCATTATTATGATTATTCTCACCAGAGACTATCCTGCAAGGATATTAGGGTAGTGTTAAGGACACAAAATTTCTATAGCTTCTGAAACACTGTTTTGACCTTTGGGGTGTAATATAATTAATATGACTCTGAATCACAGTACAGATTAATAACATTTCTAGCTTGAGGCTCAGTGAACAATTGAAAAAAAGACTGTATAACACTTAAGGCAATCAACCTAACACATCCCATCTAAGAAATATTTTTTAATTTATTTTTTGTTTGGGGACTCCCTGGTGGCACAAGGGGTTAAGATGCAACCTGTGAAGCTATTCACAGCCTCTGCAGCACCAGTTTGATCCCTGGCCAGGGAACTACCCACATTGCACAGCAGACCTCTGCTGACTCACCCGCTACTCCCCTCAGCAGTGAGCAGTGTATTTCAGTCAATCTGCCTGTTCTGCTCCCCACTCTGTCTCTGGTGAATCCTCTCACCCCCAAACACACCTCTGGCCTGTACTCCAGTTCATCTATGCATAAATAAATAAATCTTAAAAAAAACTATTTTTTGTTTAGGAAATCTTTATAGCTGCAACAGGTCTAGTTTAGAAGGATAAAAGCAATAGGAATCAAATGCACAGTTTCTTTTCACAGCCTGGGAGACAGGTCTTGAATTCAATATAATGGTGGGGACCTTTATGAGGGTTAGGATCTAAAAAATGACTAACAAGTTCTTCATCAAAATAGTAATTATTTATCTAGTGCAATCTGACCAAATCAAGTTGCTAAAGTTCAAGGTCATCATGAAAAAGAAAAATGGAACATAACAGAATAAATTCTGAAAAAATGAGTAGACACTCTCCTTATGAGTTATAATATACTGAATTACAGTCATTAAAACAGTTTAGGCCTGGGCAGAATAGAGAGACAAATTAATGGAATCAAATATATTGTAAAGAGAGATCAAAAACACTAACGGTGGTATTTCAAACCATGGGGATAAAGATGTGTGTATAAAAGGGATAGAAATTGTTAAGCTTTCAAAAAACTATTGGGATCTTTTTGAGTTCGTCATATATATATATATATATATATATATATATATATATATTCCAGATTAATGCTTCATTTTAAAAGAATCAAATCATACAAATATGGGAACAAAACATGGGTGAAATCTTCTATAAAGATGGTAAAGGAATTTTAAACATGATTTAAAAAAACCTAAGAAGAGCCTCCTTGGTGGCGCAAGGGGTTAAGCACCTCAGTATGAAGCAATTCGCAGCCTCTGCAGCACGAGTTCGATCCCCGGCCAGCCAAGGAAAAACACACATGGCGAGGCAGACCTCCCCTATCTTGCCGGCTGCTCCCCTCAGCAGTGTGTTTCAGTCAGTCTGCCTGTTCTGTTCCCCACTCTCAGTGGATCCTCTCACCCCCTGCATTTCTGGCCTGCACCCAGCTCTTGTATGCATAAATAAATAAATCTTAAAAAAAAAAGCCTCCCTTTAAAAAATAAAAATAACAAACCTAAGAACCCATGAAAGAATATATTGATAAACTTGACTGCACAAAAATGAAAACGTCTATATTGCCAAAATACCATAAGCAAGGCAAACAAATTTTGTATCACTAGACAAAGCAGTTAATTTCTGTTACGTAAAAGGGCTTTTACATATCAATAGGTAAATGAGGAATAATCCAGTAGAAAACGGACAATGGGCATGCACACGCAAGCGGTAGAAAGGGCGAAGCGATGGCTTTCTAAATACAGGAAATGTTCGACTGCACGGATTATTTGTGATTATGGCACAGGTAAGGTAAAGGTTGCTCAGGGCTGGCCCGAGCGAGGGAACAAGTTCCTGGACTTTGTTAGCAAGAATGTAAAGTAGGAGCTCTGAAATGGAATTAATTGCTAATCGAAGTAGCAATTATATTTTCAGGGAAACCAAAGCATATCAAGCAAGTCTACAAATACGCAGGAATGCCAGTAGGAAGAATACCTGGCGTGCTTATGAAATTTAATTTCAGGTGTAAAACAGCTGAAATCGGGGGGTACCCTGACGGACCCAATGTCTAGATTTGCCTCGTTATTCCCCCAATATCTTGCCTTCAAGAGGCCGCAGCACGAAAATCAAAGCACACACAAATCATTAAAATGCCGACACCCCAGAACTCAGGTGCGAAAGAGGAGGTAGGCTCCACCTAAACTTTCGTTTTTTAACCTACCTCCCTTGAAACGCCTCAAATCTGTGCAAAGGGATGCAGTCAGGGGAATCTGCCAGAGGCCCTGGCACTGACCCACAAGAAAGAAACTTACTTTCGGTGACCAGCCTGGGCAGTTAGTGGAGACAGCACAAAACGCGTTCCAGCGCACACCCGCCTCGCAACGCCCGGTCCGCGCTCTGCGCTGTCAGCCGCGCGCGCAGGGCGGAGGGCAACCCTTGCTCGCTACTGAGCATGCGGGACACGAGGCGCAGGCGCAGAACGGCTACTTCCCACGGCCCCTGCGGATTCCCGATCCGCTCCAAAAATCCACTTCTCCTTGTTTTCACCAAGCCCCCTGGAGCCTGCTGTCGCCCCCTATGGAGGAGAAAAGTGTGTCTGTTTTGGTTTTTTAAGATTTATTTATTTATGTGTTTGAGAACTGGGGTACAGGCCAGAGGTGGGGAGGGGGTGAGAGAACTCACCAGAGACAGAGTGGGGAGCAGAACAGACAGATTGTAAGGGCAGGAACAGGCACAGTGCAGGTTTTCTGATCCCATACAGACCAGGTAAAGGAGGAGTCAGAGTCCTCAGTGGTTTTTGCAGGTCTTTTATTGGGGTTCACCAGGCATATGGCAGGCAGAGGTGTTGGCTGGGGGGCTGGGAGGCTGGCAGGCCCCCCAGCCCCCAGCAAGTCTTCACTCTATCTGGGCTCTCTGGCGTTCCTTCTGCTGCTTCTTGGCTTCTCTTTCGGCGTCTGCTTTGGCTTCTTCTAGCGTCCAGGTGACGCCACCCTTAAAAAGCACAGTCTTAGCGCAGGTGTACCCACTTCAGGTGCCCGCCATCAGCATGCATTCAGGATCACAGAGTTCCTTCATCTATCCTGATGGCGGGAGGGCAGAAAAGCCTGATACATTTTACCTTACCCTACACAGAGATGCAGACGAGTCAGGAGAGGTCTGCTGTGCCGTGTGGGTAGCTCCCTGGCCAGGGATCAAACTCATGCTGCAGTGGCTCTGGATAGCTTCATAGGTTGCGTCTTAATCCCTTGTGCCACCACGGAGGCCCCTTGTTTTTAATGCAAGCAATCCATTTTGTGCAGGCCTTTTCCTAGAAACTTGGTTCCTCAGAATGGAGTTGCTTTATCTCCTGATAAGGCAGAGCCATAATGCACCCTCCAGTGTTGCAGTTTAGATGCTGAGGAAAACTCAAGCCACAATCTCAAACATTTTTGTGATTTTTCTCCCACTGCTTTACACATTACTTCATTCAAAAGCATTTTCTTTTAGTTTTTTTAAACAGTTGCCTTTACTGAGCCCTTAGAGCAGTTAGCTTAGCTTTCATAAAGGTGTTTGCACTGGCTTTGGGAAGAGTAGTTAGTGAGCAATTATTTCTATATGCTCTCTCTCTGTAACGCCTAGACATTTGTAATTAGAAACATCATTTCTATTAAAAAAAAAAACAAATAAAAAAACTCACCAGTGAGCAATAGCAACAAATGGCTGCTGTTACATGGAAATCTACTTTGCGGAGTCTTTTACCTATATGACCCCGTTTGGTTTTCATAATAACTCTGTGAGTTAACTCAGACCACTTGTTGGGGTAGAAAAAAAAATCCAACAAGAGTTACCAGCTCAATCATGCGTTGTTCTTTGTACTTAAATTTCATAATCACACAGAGTAATATTCAAAGGTGGGATCGCTGACTCCCAGCCCAGCACTGCCTTTTGCATGGGGCACTGGAAACATTTGAGCTACCTAGAAACCATTTGGAGGTCGTTAAGACCCAGTTCAAGAACAAAGAATCTTCCAGGGCGAAAATATCCACAACTACCAGTTAACTAGACCAGCTGGAGCCTTCCTGAGTTTGCCGGAGGGCGCTCCTTAGCCTACCGGAGACCCCAGCCTGCAGGTGCAGCCGCTTTGCCTCCCTATATAAATAAACTCTCTCAAAGGGGGCCGGGCTAGCGGAGCTTGCTGCGGTGGCGCCTCCTGGAATAAAACTTTTGCAGAAATCGCTCTGGTTCAGTCTTTGAACTCTCTCTGCTACTAGTGAAACCACCGCTTCAGGGCGATAGCAAATTTGGGTCCTAGTCCGGGCTCTCCTTCACCGAGCCGGGCCCCGCCGCTCTGTTCCAGCAGCTGCCGGAGCATGTGGGTCTCCGAGGATGGGGGGGCCTACGGTCCGCGCCTCGGGGCGCCCCTGGCTCCCCCGATTTCTGCAAACGCGCCTACTGCACAGGGGCTGAGAAAGCTGCCTCCTTGCCCCGACAGGTCAGTGACCTGGGGCGCCAACCCCCTCTGCTGGGCGCTGGTGTGAGCGCTGCAGCGCGCCGGCGACCGAGACCCGCGCGGCTGTGTAGTGGAGCCACCACTACGGTGCGTTCTGGGAGGGGAGTTTCGGCTTTGTCCTGTCGGCTTTGTCCTGTCGGGCACTCTTTTCTCATCTTCAGCCCCATCAGGGGGAGGCCTTTTCAGGGAGGTGCGAGTGGAAAGTTCCCTCGCCTTAGAAATTGTGAGCCGCTCCGACCAGAACAAACCAAGTGGAGTAGAAATTGCCCGCGCTCCCCAACTATCCCAGGAGGAGGCCTAACGGGGATGTAGGACTCGGGACAAATGACCAGGCTGGTTTACAGAGTTGTTATGGATTTGAACGCGCCAAGGCGCTGCCTCCCTCCCAGCGGGCCACTCAACAGGTGTCATGCACTGGGCGAGCGCTCCAGGTTGAGATGTGCGGGTGTGTAACATACATGATACTTAGCATTAAGAGAAAATACATGAAATGCTATTTATACTTTTAACTACACGTGGGGGTGATCATGTCTTGGAGATGTGGGGTTAAATATATATATATTTTTTAAAGATTTATTTATGCATACAAGAGCTGGGGTACAGCCCAGAGACGGGGGGGGGTTGATACGGGCCACTAGAGACAGAGTCGGGAGCAGAACAGGCAGGCTGACTGAAATACACTGCTGAGGGGAGCAGCAGGTGAGACAGAAGAGGTCTGCGGCGCCATGTGGGTTGCTCCCTGGCTGGGGATGAACTCCTGCTGCAGTGGCTGCAGAGAGTTGCATAGGTTGCGCCTTAAGCCCTTGCACCACCAGGGAAGCCCGGGTTAAATGTTTTAAAAGGCCTCGAGATTGAAATGCGAGCCCCAGGGAGAAAGCCACACCTTTCGCGGGGCCCCGCCCCCGAGCGGCCACGCCCCTGAAGCAGGCCCCGCCCCCGCGGCTGCAGCCACAACCCGGAGGTGGATCCGTCCTCGGCGCCCGCGGGCAGCGCGTGCTCCCCGCCCCTTCCGTGACCCAGGCGCCTGCGCAGTCCGGACAACTCGCGTTGGTCCCTGGGGTCCCGGCTGTCCAGGGCCCCGCCGGCGCCGCGGACACGGGGTGGCAGCGATCGGATCGCCATGCGTTGGGGGCTGCGCCCTCGGGGGTCGGGGCCGGCGGTCCTGGCGGCGGCCCGGACTTTGTGGGCACTGCCCCGCCTTCCCTGCCGCCCGGGGTGGAGAGGGACCCCGAGGAGGCTCCTGGTGCGGACGGTCACCGGGGCCAGTAACCAGCCGCAGAACTCGAGCAGCGGCCAGTATCGTGACACGGTGCTGCTGCCGCAGACCAGCTTCCCCATGAAGCTGCTGGGCCGCCAGCAGCCGGACATGGAGCTGGACATCCAGGAGGTGCGGCCCCGCTGCGGGGAGGGAGTCCCCAGGGGCGTGGTTGGGGGGGCCCTGGGCCTAAGGCATGGCCGATGGGTCCCGGCCCCTTCTGGTGGGAGGGGTTGGTGGGGGGAAAGGGTGCGTGACCAGATCAGTGGAAATCTGTTTCAGGGTAGGTTTTATTGGCTGGAAACTTAAGTGAAGAAATCTGGGTAAGACACTCAGTGGCTGCAGGTCCCGGGGCGGAATATCAAGGAGGAAACGCAGACGGTAACACGTGCTGAATGTTGCCGGCTTGGGCGAAGCAAGTCGATGTTCAACACCCTCCCTGTGGTTTGGACAAAGCAAATCAGCGTATACACACTTGAATAAAAAGTTACGGCTCACTTTTGTGGATCAGTAGGTCCCTACTTGGCGTTTTGATCTGTTTGAAGGATAAACGAGGGCCACTTGCTTACTCTGAGCTCTCTTCCTAAGTGGTGCATGTGTCCTCTGTATTAGACAGCTTTTTCGAGGCAGAAATTCACTTAAGTTCTAATTCTAGAATCTTGAAAATACCTGGTATTTGGGTTATATTGGTTAAGTAAGTAGACTTACCCTAAATATTCCGACAGCAGATTTCTAGGCTCATAAACCTCCTGAGGCCATCTGCTTTCCTTAAGTGTTTTATTCATATCTTTGTGCTGGCAACTGTGACAGTTTCCAGTGCTTTAGTTTTCATACTATCCCTGTCAGTTGTCTATTTCTAACTTTTTTCCAAAATAGGAAACGGACTTACTGGCAGTGACTTGTCAGACAGCAGGTGACTTAAGGGGAGTGGGACTTGAATCAGTAGTACTCCAGACTTCCAGAGAAATAGGAGTATGGGGGATCTGCAGGCCCTTTTTCGTGGATGGACTGATGAGTGGAGGGTGGGTGTGCCGAGAAACAGCCCAAGAATTTAGTGGGACTGAACCTTTGTTGGGTCCTGAATACCCTATAAAGAGCTTAGACTAATCTGATATCTGTGGGGGGAAACTCTTGGAAGGGTTAAAGAGTGATCCAAAAGCACATTTAGAGACTCCACTCTATTTGTGTGTAAGAGTTGATTAGTGGGATGAGAGAAAATCAGTAAGTGGGGGCTGTTACTTATAGTAAGATTGGGAGTGTGTATTTATGTGATGTTCAGACATTATTCTTTTCAAACAGAAATGTGGATTTTCAGAACTTTATTCATGGCAAAGACAAAGAAAAGTAAAGACAGAATTTTGTCTTCATGATGGACCTCCTTATGCCAATGGTGACCCTCATGTTGGACATGCTTTAAATAAGGTAATTGTAATTTAGGTAGTAATACTTGGGAAAAACCTTTATTTCTTTACATTTCACAAAAGAACGTATTCTAATTTTGACAACTAGGTAGATTTGTATTGACTCATAAAACTAATGTCATTACTAGAAGCAGTAAAACTGTTTAGTAATATATGAAAAATAACAATGCCTATATCTGCTTTGAACCTATTGTTTTACATTAATAAGCAATGTTTCAGTAAATAGTGAACACCTTTCACGTGTTAGGCATCATCATAGACACTGGAAATAGCAGTGAATAAAATAAAGGTAAGTCCTGACTTACGGTACTTATGTCATCAGGGAAGATCTAATCAACAAGGTAAAATATGTCTATAGACTGATTATTTCCTCTCAAATCCATACGTTGAAGTGAATCTGTATTGTGATGTTATTTAGACGTGGGGTTTGGGCCAGAGCCCTCATCAGTGCCCTTTTAAGAGATACTAGGGAGCTCCCTTACCTACTTATGCAGGAGAAGTTCAATGAGAAGATAGTCCTTGAACCAGAGAGTGACCCTTACCTGATACGGAATTTTGTTTTTGTTTTTGTTTTTTTTTAAGATTTTTTTTTAAAGATTTATTTATTTATATAAGCACTGGGTACAGTCAGAAGCGCGGGAGGGTGAGAGAATTCACCAGAGCCAGAGCAGGGAGCAGAACAGGCAGACTGATGAAACACACTGCTGAGGGGAGCAGCGGACGGCAGGAGAGGTCTGCGTGCCATGTGGGACCCTTGCCTGGCGGCCAGGGATCGAACCGGCACTGCAGAGGCTGCGGGTAGCTTCACAGCCCAGCGCTCAACCACTGCGCCACCGGGGAGGCCCTGATACAGAATTTTGAACGCCCCAGCCTTCGGAACTGTGAGAAGAAAAATGTCTGTCTAAGCCACCCATCTCATGCTACATATAAGTAGCTATATCATGTAGCCTATATTGACTCCAGCATCAGTGATTAATCCTACAGAGGAAAATAAAAACAGGGCAGAGCAATAGGGAGGGTCATTTGGGCAAACTGCAGTTTTATTAAATTGTTGAGGTTGCCCCTCTTGCTGAAACATCGATGTTTGGCTAAAATCCTTAAGGGAAGCAAAAGGGTGTGGGCTGTAGAGATTTGGGGAGTACAAATAGCCAACACTCGCAAAGATTGAGGTGAGTGTTTGCCTGGTGAGTTTGTAGAATGGAGAGTGTTAGATGAGTGTTAGATGAGCCTAGAGAGGTAGCAAGGTAGATCTTGTGACCATTGGAAGCACCTACATATTATCCTGAGAGGCAGATAGCTATTGGGGGGTTTTGGTGGAGGAATCCATGATTGTATTTAATAGGATCACGATGGGCTGTAGTGCAGGCAGTAGGCTACAGAGGCAGAGGATGTTGGGAAATGGAAAGACCAGTCAGGGGTCTTGTGCAGTAATTCAGGAGAGGGATGATATTGACCAGGTTAGAAGTCATAAGAGTTTTGGTGTGAGAAATAGATTCTAGGTGTAGTTTGAGTCTAGATTCTAGGTAAAGCTGCCAGGATTTGCTGGTGGATTGGAGGTCGGCGGTAAGAGAAGAGCCAAGGGTGCTGGTGAGGATTTTTGTCTTGAGCATTTGAAGGGATAGAGTAGCTGTTACCTGGGATGGAGAACACTGGGGAGGAAGATTGGGAGTTCAACATTGGACATGCCACCTTCAGTTTGACATTCAGGTGGAGATACCACGTAGACTGTTGGTGAGGAGAGGTATAGACTACATATGTAAATTGATCTGTGGTGGTTTTTTTTTTTTTGTTTGTTTGTTTTTGAGGGGTGGCTGCTGGATTGTTTTTAAATAGTAAATGAATTGAGCAAGAAATTTGGATGCACTTAACTGTCCTGGGTGCCATGCAGTCTTTCTGCTTTCTGCCTCAAGGTCAGAATGCTTGCAGGTTGCTTCAAGAGTGCACTGGGGTCATGATACTGGAACCATCTTCTTCGAAGAACCAGTTGCTTTTATTACAGACTATCTATCAATTCTTGACTGATTTCCTATTTCTACTAAGTTAATTAAGTTGTTTTATTTTACTATTTCTCCTTAAGTTTTTCAAAGTTCATTTCATGTCCTTCCCTGCCCCCCCAAAACCCCAAGAGACCTTTTTATTTTGCCAAGTGGAGCCATTACTTCATGCCTTTTGCAAAAGCAGAGGTTTTGCTGCATGATGCCAGTGTTTTTTACATCTAGAAAATTCCAGCATACACTTGCATCACTTGGTGTATTAGGACTTCAACATGTGAATGGGCGTGAGGTGGGGAGGGGGCAAAAGAATGAGCATTCAGTTGGTAATACACATGAAACGGAGTACAACATGAAATGGAAAACACACTTCCATTGAATTTGAAAAGGAATAGAAGGAATTTTCAAGTTTAATCTTGCTTTAAGTCCCCTCTTGCCTTTTCCCATCTCCCACAGGCAGCTAGCTCAGCTGAGTGTCTGCTGATAGCAGATTAGGATCCAGTTTCATTTTTTTTGAATATAAATACTAATTTTCCCCAGCACCATTTGAGGAGACTGTCCTTTCCCATTGAGTAACCTTGTCTTTCATGACTGTATGTTAGTTGCTCATATATACAGGATTTATTTCTGGACTCTTTTTTTTTTTAAAGATTTATTTTTATTTATGCATACAAGAACTGGGGCCTAGGCCAGAGATGCGGGGAGTGAGAGGATTCACCAGAGACAGAGTGGGGCACAGAACAGGTGGATCTACTGAAATACACTCTGAGGGGAGCAGCTGGTGAGATAGCAACTTAAGCTGCACCATGTGGTTTAGCTTCCTGGCTGGGGATTGAACTCAGGCTGCAGCTGAAATAGTGTGATAGCGCTGAGACTTTACAGGGAGGAGGCCCTATTTCTGAACTCTTGATTCTGTTCCATTGGTCTACGCCAGTGTCATACTACTTTGATTACTGTAACCTTGTAATAGAGTTTGAAACCCGGGTGTGTGATGCCTTTGGCTTTTATCCCTCATTTCTGCTATTCAGGGTCTTTTGTGGTTCAGTGAGTGCATTGTTTTTCTGCATTCCTCTGGAAGGGGAAAGTATGTTACTGCTATACATGACTCCTAGAACAATTCTTGGCACACAACAGACTTGAATATTTGTTAGACAAAGGAATGTATGAAAATTGTGATAGGAAAATGAAGTGACAAAAGGAGAAATGAGGTTATCATCAACAGAAGAGATGAATGTCTCGAAATCTTAGAGAAACTTGTGGGGAGGAGGCTTCAGATATACCTTTCCTTATTTAGGGACACTTTAGAATCTTAGTGCAAATGATTTCATTTTGTAGGTATAACTGATAGCAGTTTAGTGGAAATGGGAGCTACAAATGTGAGCCATGGAAGTAAAATTTTCTTTTTTTTTTTTTTTTTTTTATTTTAAACTTTTTTTTTTTTTTAATTTTTTTTAATAGAGGCATGTTTTATTTTATTTATTTATTTGTTTGTTTGTTTTTGTTTTGTTTATACATGCACTGGGTACAGTCAGAAGCGCGGGAGGGTGAGAGAATTCACCAGAGCCAGAGCGGGGAGCAGAGCAGGCAGAAGGACCGAAGTACACTGCTGAGGGGAGCAGCGGGCGGCAGGAGAGGTCTGCGCGCCATGTGGGACCCTCCTCTGGTGGCCGGGGAGCAGCCGGGGATCGAACCTGCTCTGCAGAGGCTGCAGGCAGCTTCGCAACCCAGCGCTCAACCGCTGCGCCACCGGGGAGGCCCATGGAAGTAAAATTTTCTAGTAGCCACATTAAAAAATGGTGAGAACAGTGAGATTAATTTTATATTGAAGCCAACATATCTGAATTATCACTTAATATAAATTGTGAGATCACATTGGTCTTTGTACAAAGTATTGGAATCTGGTACATATTTTATTTTTATAGTGCATCTCAATTCAGTCAAGTCCAGATTTCAGCTGCTCAGTAGCCACTGGTGGCTATCATAAGTGAGAGTCCAGTATGTGTGCAGATGTGTGCATGCACCTGTTCCACATTTATAGAATAGAGAGGCCATTCTAAATGCTGGGGATTTGCTGATTTCAAGGGACATAGTCTAAATGACCAAAATAATTTTGAATACATATAAGTGGGAAGGAGGTTATTTATATATTTATTTAAATGATACACCTAGTGTAAGCATGCAAATCTAAAGTGCATGCACCTCGATGGTTTTTTTTTTTTTTTTAAGATTTATTTAGTTATTTATACAAGCACTGGGTACAATCAGAAGTGCGGAAGGTTGAGAGAATTCACCAGAGCCAGAGCAGGGAGCAGAACAGGCAGACTGACGAAGTACACTGCTGAGGGGAGCAGTCTGCGTCAGGAGAGATCTACGCACCATGTGGGACCCTCATCAGCAGCTGGGGATCGAACCAACGCTGCAGAGGCTGCAGGCAGCTTCGCAGCGCAGTGCTCAACCGCTGAGCCACCGGGGAGGCCCCCTCAATGAGTTTTTATGTCTGGGCATTACCGCTTAGATCACAATGCTTCCTCTTGCCCTATGGTAAAACTTTGGTCTTCAGAGAAGGGTGGTAGGAACATCTGATACCTTTCCTATTTTGATAGATGTGGTGATAGGAGGAAGTGATTTTTCTGGATTACTGCACTGTTTCCTTTTGGGAAGAAGGAAACTAAACTAAGCCAAATCTGTGCTTTGCCATCATTCCCCCATATTTTTTAATGCGAATATAATTTTTAGAAGGCTCTGCTGCTTTCTGGTACCTAAGGTAAACTAAGACATGCAAATTCATGACAAAATGTTAACTATGATTTTCCAAACTCTGCATTTTAAATTCTGCATTGATCCTATACCATTTCTTAGCAAAATGTAAGTTATTATTGGGTTTTATTCATGGTAACTTTTTTCATAAAAGTAAAACAAATTTGTGATTGACGTATTTGTACTCTGGTGTTTAGAAGGTTATTTTTTAAAAGGGTGGTATGGGCTGTTTATTTGCTTATTCCAGCTCGACTCGCAGATTAATTTGGGCTGTATGTTTTTCACTTTAAAATCTTTTATGCTTTGACTTCCATTGGGGAGGGGAGGGGTTAATGGCATTTCAAAAATTCAAATATTTGTTACTCCTGTGTTTTAGAACTTGAGTTAAATTTAATAGGTCATTTTATATAAATCATTTTGAAGTTGGACTTAATGTTTTAAAATGATTTTGAGACTACGAATTGAAGGCTACATATATTATGTATGAGTGATGATTATCATTTCCATCTTTGCAGATTTTGAAAGATGTGGCCAATCGATACCATATGATGAGAGGTTCCAAAGTACATTTTGTGCCAGGCTGGGATTGCCATGGCCTACCCATTGAAGTAAAAGTCTTAGCAGAACTGGGTGGAAAAGCCAAGGGTCTTTCAGCTGTGGAAATTAGAGAGAAAGGTAATAATATCTCTGTTTTAAAGTGGTATTTGCAAACACTGGTTGCGCGCAAAAGTCAGGACTTACTCAATGTCCTGTGGTTTGTGTTTGTTTTTGGTTTCAGTAAGATCTGTTAGCATCTGTTCTATGTCACAGAAAATTCAGGTTTTGTTTAATTTTTTAAGACTTTTGTGAGAATTTATTTAGAGATTGAAGGAAAGATTTGTGAGCATTTCCGAGTACATTTTTGATGTCTTTAGTCTTGTTTTGTGAAATTATTACTTTGGTTAATGTTTTTATTTACAGGCTAGGGCTTGTTGACCTATGTCAGGTGCTAGACCAAAAGTTAATTATAAATACATATATTTTAAATTAATCTCATTTAACCCTTTCCTTCAGAGGATTGGGTCAGAGAGCAATCCAGTTCTCATGTTTGATTGTATACTTGCATGTGATTTTAAAGACTTTTTACTTGCTCATGAAACATATTACTGACTTAGATTGGACATACTAATTTTTTGTGTGTTTCCTAGTTCATAACTATAATTTCGTTAAAGAAATAATGAGCCATATTATTCCTGTTTATTTTTTCTGAATGTAAGCTCATAGTCTGGAAAATACAGAAGATGGTAACAAAATTTCACTTTTTGAAATTCCAGTTAATTTAGGATTTGTTGTAGATCACTTCTTGAACACTGTTAACTTACAAAATAATTTTCCTATTAAATCTTAAAGTCTAAACTGTGTATAGTACCTGCATTTAGAGAGAGAAATGCTATGCCATGTTTAAGAATTTGAATTTATTCATTTTTGAAAACTCTTTCCTTTTTTAGCTAGATCATTTGCTAATGCAGCAATTGAGAAACAGAAATCAGCATTCATTCGATGGGGAGTAATGGCAGATTGGGATAATTGCTACTATACATTTGATAGAAAATATGAAGCTGCACAGTTGAGAATTTTCTACCAACTGTATGATAAGGTAATGTTATATTTTTTTCATTCAATGGTGTATTAGAAAATTAAATGGTATATTAGAAAATTCCAACTTCATGTTTACCTTTGTCTTTTATAGGGCTTAATTTATCGCTCTTACAAACCTGTGTTTTGGTCTCCCTCATCAAGGTATTTATGTGTTTTTGGTAGTTACAAGGGGGAGCTTTTGGGGGGTTCTCTAAATATTTATGTTTACTCTTTTCAAACCCTAGGACTGCATTAGCTGAAGCAGAACTGGAATATAATCCTGAGCATGTCAGTCGCTCAATATATGTAAAATTCCCTCTCTTGAAACCTTCCCCTAAGTTGGCATCCCTTACAGGTAAAATATTTTTGTTACTTGAGTTTATTACAGTAAGGGGTTTTAGCATTTTCTGACATTCTTGAATTTTGTATTTTTCCAGATGGCTCGTCTCCTGTTAGTGTTTTAGTCTGGACCACCCAGCCTTGGACGATTCCAGCCAATCAGGCCATTTGCTATATGCCAGATTCAGAGTAGGTATATTGTTACACTCTTCATTTTAATTACAGAGGGTACTTACTCCATTATTTTCATTATTTTGAATTTATTTCATCTTCATTGTCCTCTTAAAATTTGGTAAATTATTACTTAGTTAATGAGCTTCAGGGGACTCCATTTAAGATCTAAATTCCAGCTTTTATTGAAAAAACTGTAGGGATGAAAATTGAATTTTTTTGAAGTTAGCTTTTCTAAAATGATGTAAACATTTAAAATGTTACCACTGGCAGCTCTCCTCCCCCCACCCGTGACTAGGCAGGTGCACCTCTCTCCCCTTTTCCTAATAAACTGTTCTTTTAAAATGTTAAAAAAAAAAAAAGTTACTCCTTGTCCTTTGTCATTATTAATTTTTTCTTAAAATTTTATTTAGTTATGCTGTTGTGAAATGTTCAAAATCTGGAGAACTCTACATACTAGCTGCAGATAAAGTGGCACCTGTTGCTTCTGCTTTGGGAACAACATTTGAAGTTATTTCCACATTTTCAGGTGAGAATTTATAAGATTCTGACCATTACATCAGATCACATGGTCACAGTGGTCATATTGCTCATTGTGAATCAAAACATAATATGGCCTTTACCTTTTTTTTTGTTTTTTTTAAGATTTATTTATTTATTTATACAAACACTGGGTACAGTCAGAAATGCGGGCGGGTGAGAGGATTCACCAGAGCCAGAGCAGGGAATAGACAGGCAGACTGACAAAATACACTGCTGAGGGGAGCAGCGGGCACAGCAGGAGAGGTCTGTGTGCCATGCGGGACCCTCACCGGTGGTCGGGAATCGAACCAGCGCTGCAGAGGCTGCGGACAGCTTCGCAGCCCAGTGCTCAACCACTGCGCCACAGGGGAGGCCCTGGCCTTTACCTTTTTTAGAATGCATTTTACGTTGAATGCACTGAAGGAGATTTAAACATCTCAGGAGTACAGAAAAATATGAACATAGACAAAGGCAAAACAGTTTTTAAAATATTTCTGGCAAGTACCCAATATAAAATGTAGACTGCACAACTGTCCTTTGCGAAATTCTATTCAAATTAGCCACCAAAATGGTCTTAGATTTAATTAAAGAAGCAGTGAAAGAAATATCTTTTGGTATGACTTTAATAAATACTGGAAAGTATTCTGAAGACTGTTTCTATCAAAAGAAATCTTAGTGAACTGTAATTTGGGAATTCTAGAGTAGTGATTGCTTTTAAAACAAAATTTTGGAAATCTAGGGACACTTTAAATTATCTTTGATCCTTAGAGATACTACTTAAAAAAAAAAATCACATGAATGCAGGTACCCAAAAATGGGAAACAGCCTTCTAAGATAAACCCTCTAAGATTGGTTCAGATACGAGCCAGTTGAAGATTTAAAGTCTTGACAAAAATAAGGTTTTTCTGTGAAAGGCAGGTATATTTCTGTTCTTTCTTGACTCTGCCCCCTCCCACCCCTCAAGTACAGTGTTCCAGAGGTTGGGTGGCATTTTGAGAGTAGTAAGGTTAAATTTGAGATTGTTTTTCTAGAACATGTGATTGTTTCCAGTTGTTCCTGTGCAGAGAATACTGGGTTGCCATTTTGTGCCACCACATTACAGAGGAGTATATATACTTCTCAGTCCTGGCAAAATGAACTGGTGACAGCTAGCTTCCTACTTAATAAAGCAATAGAAATATCAAGCAGCTAAAATGGAATTATATGGGGTAAGTTTTCTTTCCAGAAAATAGAAATTGTTTCTTATTAATCATTTAGAGAACTTTGTTGAGAAATTGGGAGAGTACTAAATGGTAGATAGAGTATCTGGCTCAAGTGTAAACAGACTCGGTACATCTTGGCAAGTAGAGAGGTAGAGCCAGGTAATTCTTTTAAAATCCAAAAACTTATTTTTAGAACACATGAAGAATAGTTTATGGAACTCCAGGAGACATTGAGGTGGGAGACAGTAATGATGTAGAAAAACTAACAGGTGATGGGTGTAATACATCATTAAAGGAAGCTAGAGTTATATAGAACACTCGGATCAGATTTTCCTTGTAAGCTAGATTGAACAATTAGCCATGTGACCTCAAATTGCCTACATATTTCCTGATTGTGAATTGAGGATAGTATTAGCTTTTTTGTAGTGTTATTATGAAGTGTTGAGTCCAGTCATTGTTAGGTGTTATTATCTCTACTCTTTCTAGGGTAACATTATGAAAAGCAATGAGTTCCCATAGAGATGGTATTAAAACCTGCTGATCATTAACTTGCTGACCTAAGAATTTCTTTGTCCTTACATTCCAAAAAGTATATGACTACACATAAATTAGAAATTTTCTTGGGCTGATTTGAGTTGTCTGATTAAATAATTGCATTTAGGATGTGGCATAATTACATTTTAATAATTGCATTTACTATAATAAAGACATTTACTTTGTGGTAGGAATTGTATTAAGTGCCTCAGTTACTTAAAATGCATTAACTTGGTATCCTCACAGCAAACCTCCAAGGTAGGAGCCATAACTATTCACATTTTAAATGTTCTTGAAGGCCACAAAGCAAGTAAAAAAAGAAGCTTCGATTTGAGCCCTCTCATAGCAGTTTTTGTGCTTTTCGCCTGTTGTTCTCTTAACAGAGGTAGAACTGCCATATAAAATGCTTGTGGTTTTCTACCCTCATAGGTGTAGATTTGGAAAATGGTACTTGTGTTCATCCTTTAATTCCTGATAAAGCGTCTCCTCTCTTACCTGCAAATCATGTGACCATGACAAAGGGAACAGGATTGGTTCACACAGCCCCAGCTCATGGTATGGAAGATTACAGTGTAGCTGCTCAGCACGGCTTGTCCACGGTAGTAATCCTCCTCCTTTCCAATCACTGTTTTTTTTTTTTTTTTTTTTAAAGATTTGTTTATTTATTTATTTATACAAGCACTGGGGTACAGTCAGAAGCGCGGGAGGGTGAGAGAATTCACCAGAGCGGGGAGCAGAGCAGGCAGAAGGACCGAAGTACATTGCTGAGGGGAGCAGCGGGCGGCCGGAGAGGTCTGCGCGCCATGTGGGACTCTCACCTGGTGGCCGGGGATCAACCCGGGCTGCAGAGACTGCGGGCAGCATTGCAACCCAGCGCTCAACCGTGAGCCACCAGGGAGGCCCTCCAATCACTGCTTTTGTTGAATGAAAATGATAAATACTAACATCTTTACTTTTCAGTTAGAAACAATCATTTTTGTCATGTTAATTTAAATGGTGAAATATTTGGGGTTTTTCCAGTGCCTCAAAGCCTCATTAATTCATGCTGATTGAGAAAGATTTCCTAGAATTGGCACAGAATCAATACACAGTTAGAATTGAAGAATATATATCAAATGGGGGCAATTTTTTCTTTCAATTATTCAGTAACATGAAGAAGTTAATTTTAATGTCTGAAAAATGGCTAGTGAACTTAATATTTGAAAATAACATTTTTATAACTTCTTTCTAAAATCTGTTTTACACATATCAATTACTTAGTGAATTTTTCCACTGATAGGGAAGTCTCAAAATCATTATAATGTATGGAATTATTGTAATGTATAACAAAATCGTTGCCATTGATCTGGAAATTAGTAGTGACCAAGTAAAAGATGTTTTAGTATATGTTATTTTTGTTTTTAAACTTCAGGTGTATGCTTTTTAATAAGATATTTTGCCTTCAATAATTTATGTGTATATTCACAAATTCTTATCTGAGTAATACTCAAATTTTCAATGTAGTGAAAAACTGTACTGAGATGTATTATGTATATTATTTTGCCGGATAATGTGATAAGATAAAATGTCTTGATTCTTAATTGTTTGAAATGACACTTTGTTAGGATTGTTTAGTGGATGAAGATGGCGTTTTCACAGATGCTGCAGGTCCTAAACTTCAACACAAAGCTGTCCTTGAAGAGGGAACAGATGTGGGTAAGTATTGTCTATGCTCTGTTGTGTGTGTTTTCTGAAAGGCAGCAGCAGTACCTTGTGCTGGCTCTTCTCTCATACTTTTATAGCTTAAAATAGAGTTTGAGACAGTTTTCATTTTTTTGCTTTCAAGTTGTTCCATTTGTTTGAGCTAATCGGGGCATGATTTAGTACGACAGAGATAATATTCAGCAGTAAAATGAGATCAGGCCTTGAGACTACATGCCAGCCACCTATCAGTGCTCACTATTCCTTCTCTGACAGTTGTAAATTGCTGACTCTGTAGCAAGGCCTATGTGTTACTTTCTTGGGTGTCCTTGAAGTCTGGACTCTTCTATCTGCCTAATTATGGACCTAGCAACCCATACCTTTTCTGCCCAAACTAAGGCTAATTAGACCTGGGTATTATTTTCCTGGAATTGTAACAAATTACCTTAAGTCTAGTGGCTTAAAACAGAATTTATTCTCTCACTGTTTTGGAGGCCAGAAGTCTGAAATGAGGTGTTGGTAGTTGTACCCCCTCTGCAAGCCCTGTGGAGGATGCCAGCCTGGCCTCCTCTTAGCTGGGGGAGGCACCTGGAAATCCTGGCACTCCTCGGTATACAGCTATTGCATTCCAGACTCTGGCTCTGTTGGCACCTGAGCTGCTTTGATCTTTTGTTTCTGAGCAGCCTCTCCTTTTATTATACAGATACCAGTTACTGAACTTAGGGCCCCCCTATCCCGGGGTGGTAGCATCTAAACTTGATTATATATGCATAGCTCCTATTTCCAAATTAGGAGGCATTCACAGATATTAAGGGTATTCTGGATAAACATATATTTGGAATCTTTCAATACGTGTGTCCCATGTCTTTTTTGGGGAAAAATTTGAACCCACTATTTTTACTTTCTTCTGGATTATGGAAAACCATTTTGAGATTTATGGTATGAATAATTATGACTCTGAATTTCAGATACATTTCCTTTGAAGAGCCACGTTAATTGCGTATCTGGAGTCTGATTAAGTTTTTACGGTCTCCACTTTGTATGCCAGGAAATTCAGATTATGCTATTGATACCTGTCATCTATTGGTGCAGATTTAGTACTTCTAGAAGTGTAGAGCATTACTAGAATTTTTGTTGTCTAACTTTAAAACTATGTCTAATCTAAGATTTAATGATTTTTTTTTTCAAGTTATAAAGATGCTTCAAGCTGCAAAGAATTTGTTGAAAGAGGAAAAGTTGGTACACAGCTATCCCTATGACTGGAGAACTAAGAAACCAGTGGTTATTCGTGCCAGCAAGCAGTGGTTTATAAATATCGCAGACGTTAAGTCTACAGCCAAGGTATAAAGGGCTTCTCCTGCAGGGGCTTATCCTTCCCTCAGTATGAAAGGGTTGAGTATGAGGTTGAGGTGGGATCTTGCTTTTACTACTATTTCATACAATGTGGATTTGGAGTCAGAGAATCTCAGATCTGGAACTACCTTAGATTTCCATTCCTTCATTATGCTAGTGGGGAAAATTGGGCTAAAGAGTCTGAGTGAATTCCTGCATGCAGTCAGTGAAAGCTTCTCCCTTTGGGACAGTGCTGAGTTTAGCAAGTATTTTAACCTCTCAGAACCTGTTTTCTATATATATAAACCTGCTTCAAGGGATGGGTGAATTAAAGCTCCCACAACAGTTTCTGGCACAAAATAGGCATTTAATAACTCTCTAAACCCTTTCCCTCCTTAAGATTGAAATTTCAGTCCCTTTGGAAAGTACTGGTATTCTGGATAAACATGTATTTGGAATCTTTCAATACATGTGTCTTATGAACAACTTGATTCTATTGCATTAAAGAGCTCAGAAGTCTATTTGTTAATCAGGCTGAATATGCAGATATTTTACAGGTTGCATCTACTATATTACTGTCATTAGTTGGCTCATTTGTTGGCCTGGGAATTTGGAGCTCTAGTTAGGTCAGTGCATAGCAATTTATATTTTGTATGTTTGTATAGAGTAGACAACTATGATTTTTTTTTCTTTCATTTTTATGTTACTGTGATGCCTGTTTTCCTTGTGCATGTTAAAATTTGTAATTTTCAGCTCTGTAGACTAATGGTTGTAGAACATCTGAGTCTCATGCAGTTTTCTGAAGCCAAGTTGGGTTTTTAGCTTCCTTATATGTACAATTTCCAACTATTACTCTTTGTGGGAATGGATAAGACAGTGTTTTCATTACCCACCTTCAATAAAAATGAACTTTTGCACCTCTTCTGCCACTCAGCCTCTTACTCCCTACCCACTGGATTATTTTGAAGCAAATTTTAGGCATTATTTGTTCCATAAATACTTCAGCATGTATATTTGAAAAATAAGGACTCTTTAAAAGTGCCATTATTGACACTTTAAAAAAGAAATAGTTATTCCTTAACAAAATCAATATCTCATCGGTATTGGCATTTCTTAGATTTTTAAACCAAGTATTAATCAAATTGAATTGTGGATGTTTCCATTCTGTCAGTAGGTGGTGCTACAGAAGACTTGGGTGGGGTGGGGTGGGCATATCTGGTAATTAGGTGGTTGGGTAAGTGAGGAGACTTTGAACACGCTCTGAAAACATTAAGGTATTTTTATTAATGAAGAGAAGAGTTTTTCAAAATACGTTTGCATAGTTTGGCCTTTTTGTGATTATTATCCAACATTTTGTTATACAGTTCAGCTTTTGATAATTGATGACAGGAATCAAATATTAGCAGTTTGCAGTTGGGAGGAAAGAAAGAAGGGAGGGTGGAGAGATCATAAATAGAAAGTGACTTATTTTGAGAGTATTTTCTATATTTTAAACCATTACAATGTAAAATTAGGTTCCATAACAGTCCTTGTTTGTCAGCCTAAAACAATAGCTTAATTTTTTTTAAAAAGATTTATTTATTTATGCAAACAAGAGCTGGGGTACAGGCCAGAGATGTGGTGGGTGAGAGGATTTACCAGAGACAGAGTGGGGAACAGAACAGGCAGATTGACTGAAGTACACTCTTGAGGGGAGCAGCAGGCGAGTCAGGAGAGGTCTGCTGCGCCATGTGGGTTACTCCCTGGCTGGCTGGGGATCGAACTCGTGCTGCAGAGGCTGCAGATTGCTTCATAGTGTGGTGCTTAACCCCTTGCAGCTCTAGGGAGGCCCCAACAATAGCTGAATTTTTAAACATTTAAAGAATAGCATTGAAATCAAGTTGGAATTGAGTTTAATATAATTATAGTACTTCCACTGTTATTAACAGTTGTGCTCTAAAGTGTTTGGAAATTAGTATAAAACCTCTTTTCACATCCTCCAAAAGTGAAATCTGCTATAGATGTTATTTCTGTAGGTCCTTTGTGACCCTGTTTGAACTTTGCCTCCTTTGCTCTGAAGTCTGTTTTCTTTTGAGTTTATTTTTTTTGCACAGGGGAGATTAGGGCATGTGTCATTGACTTTCAGTATCCAAAAATAAAGAACTGTGTTAGAATAAATAGTTACAGCTCTAGAAAAAATTGTTGTGCCTTCTCTCACTAGGCTTGATTTATGAATCTATTGCAGGAATTGTTAAAAAAGGTGAAGTTTATTCCTGGATCAGCACTGAATTCCATGCTTGACATGATGGATAGGCGGCCATATTGGTGTATATCAAGGCAAAGAGTTTGGGGTGTTCCAATTCCTGTGTTTCATCATAAGACAAAAGATGACTTCTTGATTAACAGGTAGAACTTTGTGAAATTTTTTAGCATTTTAAAGTGAGTTCTTTTTTTTTTTAATGCAAAACTAGTGGGCTGTTAAACCTAAGGTGTATTTTTATTTATTTATTTAATTAATTTATGCACACAAGAACTGGGTTGTGGGTCAGAGGTACAGGGGTGAGAGGATTCACCAGAGACAAAGTGGAGAGCAGAACAGGCAGATCTACTGAAATACACTGCTGAGGGGAGCAGTGGGTGAGACAGGAGATCTACTCTGCCATGTGGGTCAGCTTCCTGGTCAGGGATCAAACTTATGCTGCAGTGGCTGCTATACCTTGATAGTGTTGAGACTTCAACCCCTGCAACACCAGGGAGACTCTTCAGGTGTATTTTAAATAAAATATTCTAAACTTATCTTTTCAGGGGAGTAAAATAGAAATTTCAGAAAGATCTTTTCAAAAGGCTGAAACTTTCACAACTGCATTTTTATTTCAATGTAGATACTTGGAAGCAAAGACTCCTTTTTTTCCTTGATGATTCATTATTTCTACTGTGTCTTCGGTGATAGATAAGGTGTCAGGAATTCTGAGGTGTCAGTGGAGGAACCTGGTATATAATTTTTCCTTTGGAATTACTCTCTTCCTCTGAGTTTACTCTTTTCAGTAAAAATGGCAAAGGTAAATTAGATCCTTTGAAATGTAAGGAAGTATGATATTATATTTTCTCTGATGATGATTATACTTCATTTTTCCTGGGGTGTTTTTTTGGTATGACAATTTATTCAGAGTAGAAAAACTTATATTTGTAAAAGACCTTTTTCTAATCCAGACACTATTGAGCCAGTGACCAAATCTGACCCAGTGCCTGACATTAATGAGATGATCATCTCACTGGTAAATGTCTCCAGTAAATGAGGGAGACTCAGTAACTGATGTGGAAAGAAAGGGGAATGCGAGTCTTCCCTTCTAGGAATACAGCCCAGGTTTTCATTCTCTTTGGGTAATTTTGTTTTCATTTGATTAGAGGATTTTCTGCTAATTTATGCTGTAACATGAGGAAAGAGTTCAAGCACATTTTGGTGTTTTCGCATTTCATCAGCTGAGGCTTCCGAGATTTTTGAAGGCATGGAGACCAGCAAATCATGGGGAATTCAAAAGACTGTGTGTATCCTTACCTTGGAGCTCATTATTATTTTGGTAAAAGCTTCTGTTTCTCAGTGTTGACATGATCAATATTTTTCAGATGCTGTTTTTGGTAAATGGTTGTGTTTCAGGGGGTTTTATGTTGATTAAGTAGGGTTTTTTGTGTGTGTGTGTGTGATTACCTCTAGTCACACCATAAGGTATCCTTTGAGGTTTCTTCTCAGTTTGAAATACACCTTATGGCACTCCCTCATGGGAAATCTGACACCTTAGGGCGGCTTGGCTCAGAGGGCAGCACTAAAGCTCTGCCTGAGGCTGACATTGAACCAAGAAGCCTCTCCTGAGCTCCAGTTACAGAGGATGTGGCACAGGAGATTAGGCAGGAAATTTTAGAAAGTACCTAGCCAGTAGAGGGTTCAGCTGGAGCTGAGGCCTGGCGGGAAAGCCTCACCTGTGTGCAGTAAGCTGTGTGAGGAGAACAGGAAGGTAACCACTGAGCAAGGTTGGTTGGGGGAATTGTGAGTCTTGAATACTCGATTGAGGAGTATTAAGTAGTGCTGTTAAGTAGGCATGAGGAGTAAGAGTATGTTTTAGGAAAAGAAACTAGAGGCTAGAGACCAGAAAGTCATTGTGAGGCTGTTTCACTCTAAGAGTTTGGAGCTGAGACTCTTGGGCCCAAATATTGTTGTTCATGTTCTTATAATCTGTAAACTCCTACTCTTCTAAGACCTCTATTAAGAATTAAAGCTGAGATCAATTTACACAGTATTATTTAAAATTCTACACTTGAGAATTTTCTTTTAAGAAATGTTCTTAAGCCAATGCCATTGCTTCCCATTCTTTTCAGTATTTAGAGAACAAGATTTTTAGGGAATCTTCTTGAATTGATTCAGGTGGATCTGTATGTATATATTAGTAAGCAGAGCCTACTAGTTTATTTGACCATTATTTCGTTGACCATTTTTCAGTAAGCTAAGGGGAATACACATGAGTTTGTCAGAGAAACCAAGACAGTTTTTATTAGGTATCATTTGCATTTTATTTACAGTTAGTACATTTACATGGTGTGTTACAGATTCTTTTCTCCACATCTACCATTCTGTTGCTTGATGTTAGTTGATTTCTGATTTTTGAAGTCGCAGTAGTATACAGAATATTGGCCTACAGAAATGACAGATGAAATCAGCCATATCGTCTGTCAATTCATAGGTCATCTTCCTGAACACTACCTCTTAGTGATGGCTGAAATCCTCCTCCATTGTTGGGTTCTTTTCGAGCCATAACACTTGACTCAAGGAAATGGTTATTCTTATTTGTCAGTTTTATCATACAGAAAGAGAGATTATCCTGTTTCCACCTTAATCAAATGAGAATTAAGTGACCATGATTTTTTTGTCTGTCTTGGTTTATTATACCCTATGTTGTTAAGTTGGCAAGTTGGTAACCACCAAAAGTAACAGCATCTCCACTGGAAATTGATACACAGTCCACATGGAGTTGCTGTTACAATTGATAGCTCCAGGAAGCATATCAAGACTCCTACCTGAGTCCATAAGTTATCTTAATATAACTTGTTTCAGACGAGAATCTTGATATTTAAATGTTGTGACTAGTGGATTTGAAACTCATGTTTAATTTTGATTTCAGTTGATTTGCACTTAATTTTTGTATTTGTATTAATTTCTGACTCTAACATTATCGAACATTTTTCTAAATCTGTAGTATGAATTTATAATTTAGTTGAAAACCTATTCCTAGTTAATAAAGACAAATACTTTATAAGTACAAAGAAAAAATTAAGAAACATTTGCTACCTAGAAAGGAGTTGTTAAGTTTCTTTCATTTCACATGATTGTAATCAATTTAACAATATTATTGTAATAGTTACTATACATTTCTAGAAAACTCAGCTCTTGATTTCTGGAAATTACAAGAAATTGACTAGGATAGGCAAATGAACTTTAATCAGCTGGAGTATTTGCTTTTGCCACCTCACATTTTTGCTCATGTTAGTAATGAAAAAAAAAATTTTGGTGAAAAAAATTGATACTATTCATTAAAGATAAATTTCTCCAATCATTTCCTTTCATCTTTAAGACATAAGTGAAATGTTACATCAAAAATAAAATTTCCCAATTTCGTTGTGTTCTAAAAGTTACTACTTATGAAACATTTATCATCTTACCTCATTGTTATTCCAGTAACTTGCAGAAGAAAAGATGTCATAGATCCTCAGTACATCTTTTGCTTTTATAAAGTTACAAACACAGGAAATAGTGGGGAGGCAGCAACAGTTTCTTCACTACCTATTCATCTTAATGCTGCTGAATTGCTGTAACACACTAAATAAACCCCAGCCCAGCTGATATCAAAGTTCAGAATGATTGGTTGGCGTTACAGTTGCTCATGCTATAACTAGTGAATATTCACTGATTGGAAGCTAGGAAGGGACACGTGATGCATGTGGTTAGATAAGGTCCTTGCGTAAAGTGCAAGTTTTATGGCGGACTTATTGCTTTATAAAACACAGCGTTAAAATGGAAGGAGGATATAGATTATGTAGTGATAAGGAGTTTCACCCATTTTTATCAACAGTGATTTATAATGATCTTAAAGTTATTAGTTAACTGTGTGTTTGTGCTAAGAGATTAACAAAGTGGGTGAATTTTTAAATTTCCGAAGATGAATTCTGACTTCTTTGTATTTTTTTCTGAAGGACATTTAGTATCACTAAGAAATGCCTTTAAAATTGTTTCAACACTTCTTAAAGCATGATCTCAGCTTCCTTATAAAAATTACACTTCAAAGTATCTTAAGGAAATAGAAGACTAATATACAAGAATACATATGTAAGGACATCTGATACAGTTGTTTTATGAGGCCCTCACTGTCAGTCAGTTTTGGAAGACTGAATATGCAGCCATTCAAATCTGTGTCCCCACCCCTGCTGGTTGCCAGCTCCCTGCAAGTACTCGCAGCCCACCAGACCTTAGGCTTAGTTAAGCTTTTATCTTTTACATTTTAAAAGACACAGGCTGTTTAATTTGATGTAGTCACAGCTATTTATCTTTGCCTTCACTATCACTGCTTTGGGTGATGTGTCTGTAAAGATGTCTTTGATGTGCATATCATGTAGTGTTTCGCCTATATTTCCTTCTATGTATTTTATGGTTTCAGGTCTTATGTCTAGTTCTTTAATCCAGTTTGAGTTGTTTTTTGTGTATGGTGTGAGGTAGTAGTCAAGCTTCATTCTTTTGCATGTAGCGACCCAGTTTTCCCAGCCCAATGCCCAAAAATAGATGACTGGATCAAGAAGATGTGGTACATATACACCATGGAATATTACTCAGCATTCAAAAAAGATAAACACATGCAATTTGCAGCAACATGGATGGCACTGGAAGGGATCATGCTCAGCGAAATAAGCCAGAAAGAAAAAGAAAAATCCCGGATGGTCTCACTCATAGCAGGAATCTAGAAAACTTAAATAAGAGACCAGGAAAAAGAATAACTATAAGAAAGTAAAAATCAAAATCAACAAACAACTATGAACCAGAGACACTCTATGGGGGTTGGGGGGCGGGGAAAGGAGGGATTGGGGTCAAAATAAGGGGGTTGCAATTGTATGGGGAATATAAAAATAAAATTAAAATTAAAAAAAGTAAATAAAAATAAAAAAAATAAAAGACACAGGCTGGTAGTCTAGGGAGAGCTACCCACATTGGGCTTTGCAAGATGCTTTGAGCACAGAGAATTCCACAGCACTGAGAATCTTTGGAGCATTTGTGCAGCATTTATGTGTATTTTTTCCAAATTCTTTTTTGATTTTTGTTTGCACATTAAATTGGTCTTACCAATTTATGCTTATAAAGTATTGGTCTTACCTGTGAAGCCTGGTAGACCACCTCGAATTTGTAGGTGGTGTGTGTTCACTGCAAATTTTGTTTCTGAAACTCTCTGCCATAGTTTGTTCAGATTATTCAAGCTACCAGAGTACAAGTCAAGAGAAAGTTTTCACTCTTTGATACAAATTCCATGCACTTAAATTGTGATTTGTTTGGATTGAGAAAATGTTTTTGTCTTTGAAATTGGCATTCTTGCAAATTTTCTTTTTCTGCCCTAGCTTCAATTGTCATTTAATTTTCCTGTGTTTTAAATAAAAGTAATATAGTTGTCTAAGACCTCAAATAGCACTCTGGAAAGAACATAAACACTGAAATACATTTAGTAAAGTAAGGAAAGCAAATCTTTAATCCATGAGACTCTCTTTTAATGAGATCAGAGTCTCCTCTCTTTAAACTGTTGCATATTTCATTTAGATCCATTAGAAACAATTTCCTTTTATCCAGATTCATATGCATGTTATGAGAAAAACATTGGGTCATTTCATTTTTTTGATAATGTATGTAGTTTTATTCATGAAAACTTTTTTAAAATTAGATTTGAAAAAAGGATTATTTTCATTGGTGTTGATAACATAGTGTGGTAATTTCATTTCTAGTAAGTGTAACTTGGTAAATATAAAGAAAAACCAAAATAGTCTTTCCTCCTTGCTGAAATAAGGGACTTTTATGAATTAAAAAATATATTTGTAAGTAAGGTGTATACATATATAAATGCAAGCTTAAACTTCTTTCATTGAACATTGTATTAAGTGAATTACCAATACCTTTATAAGAAAATATAGCAATTAAAATGTCAATTTTAGTTAGATTTGTGGAGTCGTTCACTAATCTCCATGGGATTTAATAGTTGCCTTAACAGACCCACTGCAAAATTGGAATCTTTTCTTGTTGTTTTGTATTTTTATTATGGACTTATTAGTAAGGTAATTGAATATAGTTAAGTAATATTTAAAATACAGTTCTTAAGCTTCATTGAATTGTATGAAATTTAGGGATAGTCAAAAGAACTTCAGTTCTGTTAGGTATTGAATTTGGTATTGTCAAGTAGATAGTAGATATGTAAGTATCACCTATAGCTGTCAAGTTACTGAGTAAAATATTAGGACTTTTTTCTTTTTTTAAGACTAAAATTTTTCATACATCCTTTTTCCTCACAGTGTGTCCCTGTGTTTGTAGAAACTGAAGCTAAGAACTAGTCTAGTGTATCCCTGTCAGTTTTTAATAAATCACAGGTAGACTCTGGTCTTTGGACTTGGTACTTGCTCTGTCAACACTTATTTCCTGAGACTCCCTGGTCCCCTGACTTCATCTCTGGTTCATGGTTTCGTTATAATGGGTAGTAAGAGTGTTTCACCTCTACTTATTATCAGTAAACCCCAGAGATGAGGACTGAGAGTTCACAGGGCAGTGGTTGTCTTTATAGAAGAGTTAGGAAGAATGAATAGAGATGTATAAATAGAATTGAATCGTGATTTAGTGGTGTTGGGGCCTGGCTTTACCTGTGCCACTTGTTTAGGTTCTTGACTGAAGGAACGACGAGGTCCAGGAGCGTTTCTATCAAGAGATACTAATGTCCACAGCCTCTGCAGCGTGGGTTCGATTCCCGGCCAGCCAGGGAACTACCCATATGGCGCAGCAGACCTCTCCTGTGCCGCCACTGCTCCTCTCAGCAGTGTGTTCAGTCCATCTGCCTGTTCTGCTCCCCACTCTGTCTCTGGTGAATTCTCTCACTCTTCCACACCTCTGGCCTGTACCCTAGTTCTTGTATAAAAATAAATCTTAATAATAAAAAAAGACCTACTAAAATGTTTTTCTGTGAATTCAGTCAAGAGTGCTTTTAAAGTGCATTGAAAAATATAATGTGTGGTTTCCACACAAATGCTTTTATTTTGATTAATAATAATCCTAACATCTTTATCTGATTTTCTAAATGAATGAAATTTGAACCATCTGCTTTTACTTTTTTTTTATGTTTTTATTTCCAACACATTTGAAACTGTTTTATTGCTTTATTTTACTTTTCACTAAAATTGCAATCTAGTGATCCATTGCAAGAATAAAAAGGTAAAATGACACATTTTAGATAAGCATTCTTTTTGATGAAAATTTCATAACTGGTATGAGTAGCATATCTGGGTAATTGTGTATGTATAAATGTACTTTGCTAGTATCTTTTTAAATTTCTCTTAGAGTAATAACATTAGGTTTATTCAGATTTTTTATTATAGTGTATTCATATTTTCTTGACTGATAAAATGTTCTGTGTAAACTATATAAAACAGTAATATGTAACTAAATATTATCATATAACTAGTTATTGCAGGTTTTATGGTCTCATATCACAAAAAGTTTATCTTGCTGTTAAAGTCCATCTAAAATGTGTAACTATATTGGAAATGTGGAGTTGTGCCCATTTTAACATTCTTTTCATTTCTTTTAGTGTTTGGGTACTAGTAGCATTACACTTTTTGATCTACTTTCCATAGTATACCAACTCTATTTCACATCTCAATTTGTATAGCATGTTTAATTTATAATTCCCATTTGATTTTTGCTTCCCACAACAATTTTTTATAAGTACTTTATTTTACTCATGAATTATCAGACCCAAAGAGGTAAAAAAAAGTTTATCCCATGTTGTTAATATTAATAAGAAGCAGATCCAGATTAAGGACTTAGTTTCTCCATTTTCTGTGAGCTCCTGTGGGTTTACACTTAAGCTTTTTACTGCATTAGTAGTGTGATAGAAAGGAGGATGGTTTAAAAAGTTAGCTCTAGTATGTATATTTTAATCTTTAAATATTACTGTGGACATGCGTTTTGGTAATTTGGTCAGCAAAATTAACTGTCTAAATTGACCCGACTTCAGAAAATCCATACATCATGTTTACATAATACTTATTAATATGTACTAGACATTGCTCGAGGCATTTTATATGTAAACTTGGTTAATATTTCAATCACTCTTAATGGTACTGTGAGGTTTTTACAGACTGAGGTACAGAAATGTTCATTGCTTTGCCAGGTGTCTCATAGCTAGTAAGTGGTGAGTCAGAGATTGTGCCAAAGCTGCGTGGCTCCAAGATCCATGGTCCCTCAGTGGAAGCAACTAGAGGAAATTGTGCTGTCGTAAAACTATGATAATAAATCAAAAGTGTGTTATTCCTGTGAGAATATTTGTGTAAATATTTCTGAGCTTTTCAAATACATGATAACTATTTCTTCCCAAAGGAATCCATTTCAGTATTCATTTGATGTGCATTCATTGGCTTTCTGTTGTGAGGCACTGTGCTAAGTGTTATGTGGACTGTTTTCTTTAGTTTAGTCATTTTGCAGGAGTGCGTAGGGTCACTGAGTGTAAGTTCCACCAAGGCAGGGGCTTTCCCTGCCTTGTCCACTGCTGTAGCTATGGTGTCTGGAGCAGTGTCCAAGACATTGGAGATGCTAATTAAATATTTTTTGGAACAAATGTAGCATTTTTAACAGAGAAGCAACCAAGCTTGGAAGTTGTATGTGACTCCATTATGGTCATGAGTAAACAAGAAGTAGACTTGTGCGTGGTAATATTTATAGAGAGTGGAGAATCAGAATACAGGCCTGGATATGTTACTCTGTGCTCTTGTGTGGCATTGCCTTAAGGATTTGGATTTAGTCCTGTGAGCGGTGAGGGGATGCCAGAAGTGTTTAGGATAATAGAAGCAGTTTTAGGAATGCAGCTCCCAAGGATGTGGCGTGTAAATTAAAGTTCTTTAAAGTAAATTAAAAATGTTCAGTGTTAAAGTAGTTAGTTGAACAATACTGTTTTGTCCCCACAACATAGCCAAACCATTGAGCATATTATCAAACTGGTGGAAGAACACGGCAGTGATGTCTGGTGGACTCTTCCTCCTGAGCAGCTTCTTCCTGAGGCAGTCTTGGCAAAGGTGAGCTCTTATGTGCCTTACATGACTTCACAGCATGAGTAATGGTTTGCAGTTAAAAGGTAGTTACATTGTCTGGTGAGTTTAGTCACCAGAACCCACAGTTGAGAGTAAACACCTTTGTTTTGCTGTAGAAGCTTGGTATTAAATGTGCAGAGGGAGGGGGACGGCTACTGGTTACCTTGATGAGGATCACTGTGGGTTGTAACTCTTTGGTCACTATGAGAGCAGTGTCCAGCACTGGAACTGTAGGGTCTGCAGTAGATCTAACTGGTTGCATCACACATCAAAAAATCCAAATTGGAAGATTAATTTCAAGAAAATCAGATCATAGTTTATAGTTACATTGTTACTGTAGTTACTATAAGTCAGTCAATGGGAAAAGTGTAACTAAGTTGCCAAATCCCTTTTACGTGCAGTTGGGATAATTGTACTTAGTTAAAAATGCTTGATGTTCTGGTGGTGTTTATTGTATATATTGTGAGCCTTGGGTATAAAATGCTTTGACATTGTCTAGGTTGGTGGCCGTGATGCCTTGGAATATGTTCCAGGTCAGGATATTTTGGACATCTGGTTTGACAGTGGGACTTCGTGGGCTCATGTTCTTCCAGGTAATTTTCTTTTTTTTTTTTCTTTTTTTTTTTTAAATAATAAATTTTATTTTTATATTCCCCCATACAATTGCAAACGCCCCATTCTGACCCCAATCCTTCCCCTCCTGCCCCCCACCCCCCAAAAAGTGTCTCTGGTTCATAGTTTTTTGTTGATTTTGATTTTCACTTTCTTATATTCATTTTCCTGGTCCCTTAAGTTTTCTAGATTCCTGCTATGAGTGAGACCATCCGGTATTTTTCTTTTTCTTTTTGGCTTATTTCGCTGAGCATGATCCCTTCCAGCGCCATCCATGTTGCTGCAAATTGCATGTGTTTATCTTTTTTGAATGCTGAGCAATATTCCATGGTATATATGTACCACATCTTCTTGATCCAGTCATCTATTTTTGGGCATTTGGGTTGTTTCCAAAGCTTAGCTATTGTAAACAGTGCTGCTATAAACATAGGGGTGCAGGTGCTCTTTGGAATTGATGTTTCTGTGTCCTTTGGGTAAATACCTAGGAGTGGAATTGCTGGATCATATGGAAGCTCTATGTTTAGTAGGTCCAGAAATCTCCACACAGCTCTCCATAGTGGTTGGACCAGTTTGCACTCCCACCAACAGTGCAGGAGAGTTCCTTTTTCTCCACACCCTCGCCAACATTTGTTGTTGCTAGTTTTTTTAATATGTGCCATTCTCACTGGTGTGAGATGGTATCTCATGGTAGTTTTGATTTGCATTTCCCTGATTACAAGTGATGTTGAACATTTTTTCATATGTCTGTTGGCCATTTGCATTTCCTCTTCAGAGAAGTTTCTTTTTAGCTCTTCTGCCCATTTTTTGACTGGATTATTTTCTTTGTTGTTGCTGAGTCTCATCAGCTCTTTGCAGATTTTTGTGATCAGTCCTTTATCATTAGAGTTGGGTGCAAAAATGTTCTCCCAGTTGGTGGGGTTTCTCTTTGTTTTTGTTATTGTCTCTTTTGCTGTGCAGAAGCTCTTTAATTTGATGTAGTCCCAGCTGTTTATCTTTGTCTTCACTATCACTGCTTTGGGTGATGTGTCTGTAAAGATGTCTTTGATGTGCAAATCCCGTAGTGTTTCGCCTATATTTCCTTCTATGTATTTTATGGTTTCAGGTCTTATGTCTAGTTCTTTAATCCATTTTGAGTTGATTTTTGTGTATGGTGTGAGGTAGTGGTCAAGCTTCATTCTTTTGCATGTAGCGACCCAGTTTTTCCAGCACCATTTATTGAACAAACTTTCTTTGCTCCAATGCATAGTCTTTGCTCCTTTGTCAAAGATTAGTTGACCATAAATCTGTGGGTTTATTTCTGGATTTTCTATTCGATTCCATTGGTCTGTATGTCTGTTCTTGTGCCAATACCATGCAGTTTTGATGATTATGGCTTTGTAGTAGAGTTTGAAGTCTGGGAGTGTGATGCCTCCATTTCCTTCTTTTTTTTCAGTAGAGCTTTGGCTATTCGGGGTTTTTGGTGATTCCATATGAATTTCATCAATAATTGTTCTATTTCTTTGAAGAATGCCATTGAGATTTTGATTGGAATAGCATTGAATCTGTATATTGCTTTTGGTAGGATGGCCATTTTAATAATGTTTATTCTTCCAATCCATGAGCAGGGGATGTCTTTCCATTTCTTTGTGTCTTCTTCTATTTCTTTTAACAGTGTTTTATAGTTTTCTTTGTATAGGTCCTTTACCTCTTTTGTTAGATTTATTCCCAAATATTTGATTTTTTTTGTTTCAATAATAAAAGGGATGGTTTTTTTGATTTCTTCTTCTTCAGATTTATTGTTTGTGTATAGGAAGGCTACTGACTTTTGCGTGTTGATTTTGTATCCTGCCACTTTACTGAATTAGTTTTTCTGTTCTTCCAGGTAATTTTAAATGATTGTATTGTGATCAGTACCACTCAAGCAGTTCTCAAAATAGATGAATGTTACTTAGAAGAAATCTATTATAGTCAACTCTTTTTTTGTCTTATCTGGAAAACATGCTGCTATAATATAATGTTAGATCTGGAATAGCCCATGGAGATTATTTAATCCAATGATTTCTAAACTTGTTTTCTGAATGAAAATTTTTTTTTAAAGATTGGTTTATTTATGCAAGAACTGGGGTGTAAGCCAGAGTGCAGGGGGTGAGAGGATTCACCAGAGACAGAGTGGAGAGCAGAACAGGCAGATCTACTGAAATACACTGCTAGGGGGAGCAGTGGGCGAGTCAAGAGAGGTCTGCTGTGCCATGGCCGGGATCGAACTCGTGCTGCAGTGGCTGCTGATAGCTTCATAGTGCTGAGACATAACCCCTTGTGCCACCAAGGAGGCTCCTGTTCAAGTTCTTTTGTACTATTGTACTTTGTCTTTCTGTGGCTTTCTACACAGACTGTATCTTGCTACACAGCACACTAAATACATCTAGTGAGGGTAAGTTTTTGACTCACTTGGTAAAGAGAGGAAGGCGAACTGGGCAGAAGTTAGAGGGGAGCAATAAGAGATGGATCAGGCTGTTCCTCACATGGCTATGCAGAGCAGTCTTTGTCTGAGGTCCTGTTTGCGTGCTGGAGCAAAGAAATGTGGGGGCAGCTCTGCCTTGAAGCTAGCCACTGTTAGAGGGCTGAAAGGGACTGTCCTCAAGTTTGACTTGACTTGTCTGTCTTTCTGGAGCAGGGCTCACTGTGGAGAGGACAGAAATGGGATTCCTATTTATATGTAAACATATATTTGCCTCAATTTGGCCTTCCTTCAGCTGAAGATATTTGAAAAGTAAAATGCATACATAAGTTCATGGTGATGCTGTTATAGCTGATGAGTAACTGATAAATTCATAATGGCCAGATTTGGGTTGCATGTTGGTAAAGTATTTTTCTGTAGCAATTTCAGAATTACCATTTTCATAAGTTTCTTCCACTGTATTTAAAAGAAGATATTACCAGTGTAGGCACTTTGTTTTCCTAAATTTTACTGAAAATTTAGGCAAATAGTGCTACATGAGATTAAGGTAAGGTTAAGAAAGGTTAGCTGCTGCTCTCACCTTGGGCAGCAACCTCAGTTTCAGAAACGTGCTCGCCGTATGTGAAACTGTACTTGTAAGGTACATTTGCCAGTTCGTTCATTGGTTTGGCCTTGGTGAGAATTGCTGTTCCTAGCAATTCAGACTTTTTAGAGGCTGAAGTGGTTTTACATTAGCAAATGCAGTTAGTGTGCACGGTAGACCTGGAGCCATTGCCTGGGTTAAACTGCCTAAAAAAAAGCTGCCATTAAACCTCACTGTGTAATGATAGGTGCCTGTCTTACCGTTTTTTAATTGTGACGCTCTTAACCAGTCATGAAGCATTTCTTTTTCTTTCCTGTTGTACTCAGGCAATGCAAAGGGAAAAAACATTAATTGCCACTTAAAGATATGTTGCCCGCATAGGCTACCAGAATATGAGCTCCTTCATGGATAATACAACAACCAAACTTTACTTTTTTTTTTTTTTAATTTATTTATTTATTTATACAAGCACTGGGTACAGTCAGAAGCACGGGAGGGTGAGAGAATTCACCAGAGCCAGAGCGGGGAGCAGAACAGGCAGAAGGACCGAAGTACACTGCTGAGGGGAGCAGCGGGCACGGCAGGAGAGGTCTGTGCGCCATGTGGGACCCTAGCCAGTGGCCGGGTATCGAACCGGCGCTGCAGAGGCTGCGGGCAGCTTTGCAATCCAGTGCTCAACCGCTGCGCCACCGGGGAGGCCCTTTATAGCTCCTACCTATTCTCTCAGATCTCATTTTGTCTCCAAAAAATGTATATAAATTATAAATTAACAAATCTTGTGAGAGCGGTCAGTAAGAAAGAGGTTTTTAATTGACCTATATTCTATATCGCCTCCTTATTTTTGTAAAAAAAAATTTTTTTAAAGATAGAATGAAGTGGGGAAGATGATATAAGATACTGAGTGAATTCATAGTTTGAGAAGCCATAAACCAAAGGTAAATTTCTTCTTTAAAAACAAAAGACCTCCCCTACTTTCCTTGAAGGCTCATTGTACTTTTCAGTGGTTTGTATCACATCTCATTGAGGTGCTTTGAGATCTCCATATTTCCTGGAGAGAGTACATTGTTGCAAAATAAAACTGATTTTGAGCTTAATTCTTCATTGAGATCTACTAATATTTAACATACATAACTGGTTTCACTTTTCACTGTCAGCATTTATAGCAGAAAGATTTGACTTACGAATTTTGATATCAGGTTCAGTGCCTGTTTCATTATGAATTCAAGGTCAAGAGAACTTAAGAAATTGAAACTCAGTCTTTCTAGAAGACACTGACATTTTTTTTTTTTTTTTTTTTTTTTTTTTTTTTTAAAGATATTTATAAAACATCTTTAAACTGTTACCATTGTTTACCAAAAATTAATAAATAATATATATTTTTTAGAACAGTTTTATGCGTTCATAGCAAAGCTCAGGCTGCGATAGTGGAGCGCTTCCCATCCCCCTATAGGAACAGGGTTCATAGCAAAGCTCAGTGATAGTGGAGTTCCCATCCCCCTAAGCCTCCTCTGCCATAGTGGCCCCACTGTCAACATCCTGTGCCAGAGGGGCCCATTGGTTATAGTTGCACTGGCATTGACAGATCATTATTGACAGGAGTTCATGGTTGACATGGAGTTAATTCTTGGCTTTGTTCATTCCTGTGGATTTTGACTAATGTGTAATGATGTATCCATCATTGTCATCCCACACAGTTTTACTCTTTTAATCTTCTTTCCCCCTTTTCATCCCTACTTCCTGCTAGCCCCTGAACAACACTGATCTTTTCACAAACTCTATCTATACTTTTGCCCTTTTCCCGAAAGTCTTGTTGGAGTCATCCAATGTGTTCCCTTCTCAGATGTCTCAAGTATTGAGAGTTCCTCTGTGCCTTTTCCTGACTTGATAGCTTTTTTTTTCTCTGTGCTGAATGGTCTGTTGTCTGGGGATGCCACAGTGTACTCATCCATTCACCTACTCAACTAGTGAGTAATTAAAAACACTTCATTTCTTTTTTAAAATGAGAAATAGTTTAACTAGAGGTGATCATTGTTTTAAATAGAAACTTAAGTTTATAACTTAGATTTACGAGTAACTTTAAAAGTTTGCCATCTTAATACATACACAATACTGCTTTAAAAATAGCCTAATTTCCCTGGTGGCGCAGCAGTTGAGTGCTGGGTTGCGAAGCTGCCCGCAGCCTCTGCAGTGCTGGTTCGATCCCTAGCTGCTCCCCGGCCTCCGGAGGAGGGTCCCACATGGCGCGCAGACCTCTCCTGCCGCCTGCTGCTCCCCTCAGCAGTGTACTTCGGTCGTTCTGCCTGCTCTGCTCCTCACTCTGGCTCTGGTGAATTCTCTCACCCTCCCGGCTTCTGACTGTACCCAGTGCTTGTATAAATAAATAAAAAAAATCTTTAAAAAAAATATAGCCTAATTTCAAAAATAATTGTATTTTAGAAATTTAGTAAATATTTTGGTTTAAATTGTTTTTGTTACTTAGCATTAGGCACAAAAAAAGTTTGAGGTAGTTTTCAATCCTTTGGGCAGTGATAGGAATCTTTCCTGGAGAAATATTCAGATGGGGGAGGAGGATGTGACACAGAGCCCCAGTTTCTACCAGTAGAAATAGGACCGAAAGGGGGGGGCACACGCTCACATGGGCAGAGATGGGTAGCCATTGAGTTGGTTCTTGGAAAATATCCGTGGGCGTGGGAAGTTTCGTGGAGGGGAATGTGAAATTTTAAAAAGTAGAGAGTACCAAAAAGCAGGATGCAGTAAAAGTCTTGCTTTGCTAGCAAACACCAGTAAATGTTTGTCTCCATAGATAAAATACTAGAAGGAAATATGTTGAAATTAAGTGACTGTCTTGGGCCTCCCTGGTGGCGTAAGAGGTTAGGCACTGCACTGTGAAGCAATCCACAGCCTCTGTAGCACGAGTTCGATCCCCGGCCAGCCAGGGAGAAACCCACATGGTGCGGCAGACCTCTCCTGACTTGCCCGCTGCCCCCCTCAGCAGTGTTTTTCAGTCAGTCTGCCTATTCTGCTCCCCTCTCTGTCTCTGGTGAATCCTCTCACCCTCCGCATCTCTGGCCTGTACCCCAGTTCTTGTATACATAAATAAATAAATCTTTAAAAAAAAAAATAAAGTGACTGTCTCTAGGCACTGGACTGATTTTCTTGAACTTCTCACCATTTTACAAATTTTCCTAAAGTTATTTTGTTAGGAAAAAATAAGAAGCATTGCTAATACACATTTGTTAGAACAGGAAATAGTCCCAATAATTATATGAGATTTTATAGTAATTGTACAGTGTGCCATTCCTTGAATTTGACTGTGCTTTGTATTTCTTCACTGTCCAAGACTAAATTTCTCATCTTCACTTTGAAAGTTCTACAAACATTACTTTTCTCATTTTCTGTCCGGAGGTTTACTATCATAAAACTACCCCCTTCCTGTCTCCACTGATTTCACACACCATCTTGAAAGACTCTTGCTTTTAGAAATTTTCGGGGGGCTACTCTTCTTTTACCAAGTTAAAAGAAGTCAGTATATTTCAAACAGGGAAAAGATACTGAGACTTACTCTTAAAATGAATTAGTTGTTTGCGTTTTGCCATTTGGGTTTTTTTTGTATGTAATAAATTTTTTTTAATGTTGTGCTATTATTGAAATGGGCTGATGTCCTCTCATTTTATTCAGATGATAATGTGTATATGTTCTAGGACAGGATCATAGACATTTATTTTTAAAATAGCTTAAGGATAATGAATGATAATTTTTACAAATACTCTTTTTTTGCAAATATTCTTTCATAGAAAAACTGTTGGAAAAAAAAATACCAGGAAGACTTTCATAATTCTCCATCAGGAGATATCAGAGTGCCCTTTATGATATATCTTAATAATAATTAACATTTACTGAATGTTTATTATGTCTTAAGCATTGTCCTAAGCGTGTTATAGTACTCCTCTAATCTCGACAAAAACCTGGCAAGTAAATTTTAGTGTTTTTCTCATTTAGTGAAGAGGAAATGGAAGCGTGAAAGGTCAGGCTGGGGCCCCAGCCCTGTGAGCTGCTACAGGCTCTGGACCCAGGCAGCTTCAGATGCTTTCATCCTGAGCACTAGAAATCCTGAGGCAGCAGGTTTTCTTAAAATTAAAAAAATTAGAGCTGGCACAGATTTGAGATGATTTAAAACCCTTGCATTTTAGACTTTTTTGTCAAGACTTGGAAGCAAGGGTTTTTCCAGGATGTCAGAACTTCAGTCTGATTCATGGTTGTGGACTGTCAGTGCTCATACACTAGGCCAGAAATAGGCATTTTTCAATGCAGTGAAAAGGGATTAGGGATCCTTTTCTGCTGTATTTCCTTATGTTGGGAAAGGATTTCAACCTGTATTCTGTCATTAATTAGCTCTTTGATTATAGCTGCATCAAAAAACTGGTTATCAGAAGTGCACATTTTGGATGGGATGGAATCCCATCCAGTCCCTAGCTCCCACCTCTTGTTTTAGCTCCTGACCTGTGCTTTTTTTTTTTTTCAATTGGGTCATTGTCAAATAGAAGTTCATTTGCTCTTTCGATTTTCTTTTTTTTTTTTTCATAATTAATTTCCTTGTTGTGCATGATCTCTGATGCCAAATTGTCAAGGTTCAGAATCTGTTTAACTGTGTACTCTCTACATGAGCTGGGGCAAGTTAGAAACTGTCTTCACTTTCGTCATCTGTAAAATTGGGATCATAAAAATACAATGAAAGTCAAATGAATTAACATGAAATTATTTGCTGCTCAGCAAATTTTCCTTGAAATTGCATAAAGGATTTCCCTGGAATACTGATAACTATGAACTAGTTCCTAATTTATTTTTATTTATTTTTTTTAATAGTTTTTTTTTTATATAGAGGCATGTTTTATTTATTTATTTGTTTGTTTGTTTGTTTGTTTTGTTTATACATGCACTGGGTACAATCAGAAGCGCGGGAGGGTGAGAGAATTCACCAGAGCCAGAGCGAGGAGCAGAGCAGGCAGAAGGACCGAAGTACACTGCTGAGGGGAGCAGTGGGTGGCAGGAGAGGTCTGCGTACCATGTGCCACCCTCCTCTGGTGGCCGGGGAGCAGCCGGGGATCGAACCAGCCCCGCAGAGGCCGCAGTCAGCTTCGCAACCCAGCGCTCAACCGCTGCGCCACCGGGGAGGCCCTAGTTCCTAATTTAGATAGTGTTTTAGTTACCTGTGGTTTGGGAGACTATACACCAAGTTTATTCTCTTTATCTAGATGAAAAAATTGGCAGTGAGGATAACTGCTTGTGTGAATACTGTCTAGGCATTGGGCATCACATGATGCAATTAATGTGATGACATGTGCTACTATAACTCACATTTCTTTTTTTTCTTTTTAGGTTCTGAACAAAGAGCAGATTTGTATATGGAAGGAAAAGACCAGCTGGGGGGTTGGTTTCAGTCTTCCTTGTTAACAAGTGTGGCTGCAAGGAAACAAGCACCTTTTAAGTAAGTCTCTCCCTCAGCGAAGCCAGTACACAGAGCTGCTGCCTCTTGGCCAATCGCTACGTGAGGCCTCATGCTGAGTGACACACACGATGGAACACTGCCCTTACTAGCTTGCACGCCCCCGTGTCCTGAGAAAAATGAGGTTGAAGTAAAAAAGGCGATGGCGTTACAGAAGTCTCATCACTGTGATACAGGTCATCACTCCCAGAAGAGAGGGCCTCGGCAGGGAGGATGCTGGGAAACCTGGGGAAAGGAAGTCCTGAGCTTGGGGATGGAAAAAGGGATACTCTGGGGAGGTGAAGAGCTGAGTTCCACAGCCTTACCTGTGCAGTGCCCACAAGCGGCTAAGGAAGGGAAACATTCCTTTATGAATTCTAGTAATTTAGGGATCCTTTGTAGACAATTGCTTTTCTTATTCAAATGTGCAGATAGAAGTGCTCATCAGGAAGATTCTTCCATAACTTGAGATTTTGCTATATTACAGTAGCCCACTCCAGAGTCTTTACATGTTTGTTTTTTGTATCACTTGTTTTAAAAACCATGGAGCAGCACGTATTTCTCTCAGGTTGTCTATTGCAGGATAATTTCAAGGGATAACTGTCCTTTTTAAGACATACTTTTTCCTTGTTAGTTTTAATGATCAAGACCAGTGATAATATTCAGGAAATTTTCCATTGGATGTAATCATATAAAATATTCCTTTGTTTAATTAGAGGTGGAATTATTTGACAATTATGATAAATAAGCTGTTGAGAAATGACTTCCTTGTAAAAAAATCTTTCCTACAAAATATGTCAAGAAAAATCTATTCAATCTTATTTTCATGTCAAACTCAGATACTCATTTTAAGCTGTTACATCATCTGGTTGTCATCTTAGGACTGTGGTGGTTCATGGATTCACCCTAGGAGAAAAGGGGGAGAAGATGTCCAAGTCTCTCGGCAATGTCATTGACCCTGACGTCGTCATCAATGGGGGAAAAGTAGGTGGTTGCCTGAAGGTTTTTTTTTTAAAGCTCTTAAGTTGGTGACCAAAACTCTTCATTATAGCTACTCACTGTTAAAAAAAAGAAAAAGAAAAAAAAAACCAAAACCCAAAAGTCATCTTCCATACTAATATTGGCAGCCTTGTTAGATCTTTAGATCTGGATTCTTAAATAACACATGATTTTAATGAAGGGAGGTGCTGGACTTGGCTCTTTTTGCTCATTTCAAGTCTGAATCACAGATCCTGACCCATTGTATCCTTTTTTTAATTGTTTGAGCTTTTAAATATGTAAGCTCTAGTTGTATGCTTAAATGGAAATAATTGCAACTTCTAGATGCATGTGTTATTATTACATTCTTGGAGTGTAAACTCTTTAATACACTTAAAAATAAGTTGTTAATGAATATCAAATGTGGGGTGCTGATATCTTGGTTTGTATCAGATGTGCTTTCGGAAAAGAAAGCTTATATCTGTTATTTTTACTCCTTTGGCTTTTTATTGTCCTCATGCCCAGTAATGGTTTCTCTGTGATTGCTGCGAGGGCGCTGTGAGAGGGAAGGTGGAGCTCTAAGCACCCACTGTCGCAGGCATGTGCAGACAGGGTGAGGGCCAGACGTGCTGGCGTCTGGTTGTCAGCAGGGCTGGAGAGCGGACTCTTCTGTGTTCCTGTCACACTTCACAAGCAGCCTGACTTCTGGGGTTGTTAGCTCTTATTCATTACAGTGCAGATAATTTTTTTTTAAAGATTTATTTATTTATACAGGAACTGGGGGACAGGTCAGAGGCATGGGAGGGTGAGAGAATTAACCAGAGAGACCGGGCAGCAGAACAGGCAGATAACTGAAGCCACTGCTGAGGGGAGCAGCAGGCGAGACAGGAGAGGTCTGCCACACCATGTGGGTATCTCCTTGGCCGGCCTGGAATCGAACCCGTGCTGCAGAGGCTGCAGATAGCTTCACAGTGCAGCGCTCAACCCGCTGCACCACCAGGGAGGCCTTATGTGCAGATAGATTTTATGCTCATATTGTGCTCAAACATTTCTGGAAGGAAACATACCTAAAATACTGGTTTTCCTAATTGAGTGAAAGTCATTTGTTTCTTTTTTTCCCTCAATGAAAAGGACCAAACCAAAGAGCCTCCCTATGGAGCCGATGTCCTTCGCTGGTGGGTGGCTGAGTCCAACGTCTTCACTGAGGTGGCCATTGGCCCGTCTGCACTTACTGCTGCCAGAGATGATATTAGCAAGGTCGGAGTCATTACTTGTACCTCTAAATACAAACTTTTACTCAGTCATTATTAAAATAAATGAGACATGTTTGCAGCTTGGCACTGTAACACTGAGCTGTCCATATGTTGTGTTTGAAAATATCCTGTTTATTTGCTTAAAAATACTAGTAATACTAATTCATATAAAAATAGCATAATATGTACTCAATGACCTTTAATGTTTATTCCATTTATCTTCATTTTCACCTATACATTTTTACTCTGAGGTGAATAAACTGGGCCACTGAAAGGTACTTAAGGTTATAAAGAAATAATGAAAATTCAGCCTTTATGTGTAATGTCCAGGGGTGGTTTCTTTAAAGTGGGCTGTTGAAATGAGTTTTCTGTTTTTGCATTTTTAATCTTATTTAGGAATGATATAATTTGAAAAGTATCCCATTAAGAAAGTAATGTATTGAATAAAAATTAAGAGAATTAAGAAAGCTCATGGGTAGGAATTGAAAGCCTCTTTTTTTTTGTTTGGTTGTTTTTTTTTTTTTTTTTTTTTTTTTTTGACTGCTCATGTGTTTCTCAATATCAATAGCTTAGGAATACACTGCGCTTCCTTTTGGGAAATGTGGCTGGTTTTAACCCAGAGACAGATTCTGTCCCAGTTGGTGACATGTATGTCGTCGACCAGTACATGCTGCACTTGCTGCAGGATTTGGCAAACAAGGTAAGTGTGAATCAGTAACCTTGTGGAAAATAGAAAGACTAGCACTGTTTGTTGTACATTGAAAGCTATGTTGCCTGAGGAGAAAAACCTGACTAGACATTGTAGCTACAGCTTTGAGAAAGGTTACACTTGACAAATGCCACACATCCCTATGTCACTCGGGTATAAAGTCTGATGATTTTCTTTTAGTCTTGAGAGACTAGAGAAGTGCTGGTGGGAACAGTAGGCCCAGGCTGCCTCTCCTTTGGCATTTCTCTCAGGGTGAACTCGGTACTCTGACAGAAGGAGCTGTGCTTTGTTTACCTGCAGAGGTACTCCTCAAGGTGCAGAAATGAAATGACTGCACCTGTGTGACTTGGAAGATAATTTGTGTTTTCTCAAAAAGTGGAAGTGCGGCTGCTTCCCTGTACTCTGAAGTTAGGGGGATGCAGATGTTGCCCAATTCTACTTTCCAGGCATGAGTGAGGGAATATTGCCCCCACACTTGATTCTCAGTGGTGTGGCTTCATCATTTAGAAGCTGTCTTTCTCTTGGATGAGTGGGTTTTTGTGTGTGTGGTGTGGTTTCCAGGACACTAGTCAGTATCTTCTGAGGGTGGTCAAACTTGATATCCAGAAATGACACATAGAAAACCTTTAACAGCTCTTGCACCTTGTTTTGTATTTTTCCAGATTTACACATATTTGAAAAGGAACATGTGTTACTTATTATGACTTGCTTTTTCATTTCTTATCCCAGCTTCCAAATGTTTTTGGCTTTGTCTCCTAGATTAACGATTCATACAAGCAATATGATTTTGGAAAAGTTGTTCGACTGTTGAGAGCATTTTATACCAGAGAACTCTCTAACTTTTATTTCAGCATAATCAAAGATCGGTATGTACGACTTGGGTGTTTAAAGGCTCAACAAATATTTCTTGTCTACTTCCTTGTGGCTGCTGAGACACAGTGGCTAGTGGGGCAGGCAGCAAGGCTCACGGATCTGGAAGCTGGGCTTCCCCACTGAACAGGAATCTGCCCGCCACTCACCAGCTTTGTGATTTGGGGCATCTTATCCTGTTCTCACCCTTGCTTTAGCTGTACATTGGTGTTGCTAATACTCTTATGTGATGAGAATGAAAACAGTTTATGTTCTTAATGCCATTTGATAAAGTAAGTGCTCAGTAAAAGCTGCTAATACGAGAACAGTGTGTATTTGCAAATCTTGGGAGGCTGGTGGGAGCGTATACAGGCAATTACTGCTGTTATAACACTGTGGTGACAGTAGTGTTCTTTCAGAGGAAGCTTGGAGTTGACTTTGTGTTGTAAATGGAGATGGTGCTGTCTTTAGAATAACTGGGCCAGTAAGCAGTGCCAGCCCCAAGTCACTTCCGTGTAAGAACTGCAACCGCCCAGCTCCCTTTTACAGCAATTAGACAAGTGGTGGGTTAAATGCCATCAACCTGCTGGTTAGTTGTACTGTGACAGTCCTCAAGACTGGCTGCCCTCTAGCTGAAAAACAGATCAGACAATGTACAGCAACTGAGTTTTTGAGGACACTGGCACACCTGGGAGGAATGAAGTTGAATGGAGGAACTTATCAAAAAACTGTGATAGACTATTTTGCTTTCGATTAAAAGATGACTAGAGCCATAGGATTAGCCATAGCCAGACTGGCAGGGGTGGCACATAAGGAGTTGTCAACTTCTGAATTGGTTTTTCTTAATAGGCTTTACTGTGAAAATGCAGATGAGCCCAAGCGACGCTCTTGTCAGACTGTGCTAGCTGAGATTTTGGATGTAATCGTTCGTTCTTTTGCTCCCATTCTTCCTCACCTGGCCGAAGAGGTGTTCCAGCACATACCTTATGTCAAAGGTAAGGGATACTTGATTTGTTCTCTAAATGAAAAAGATTTCTTATGAGGATACAACTTCCAGTTTCATCCACTTCATATCAGGGGTCCTTACTTGTCCACAGTGAATGCTGTGTGGCCTGGTGTGTTGTGGCCATTTGGTACTTTCTGCCCCTGATAGCAGAGTGTGATGAATTTCAGAATGGCCTTTGGGCCACCTTGCAGTGCTTTCTGAAATGTGGCCTCGTAGCAGCTTGACTGCATTTAGAAGTCACTGTTTCTTAAATACTTGTATAGTTTAGGTCTCATTAAAACATAGTGCCTTTTTAAAAAGTAATTTTATTAATAGTTTACTCTGATTGTATTAAAATTACAGAAAATCAGAAACTACAGATGTTTAAAAAAAACTCTTCATCTTTCTATCTAGAGGCTACTGCTGTCGCTATTGGGAGGCTTCTTTATTGTACTTTCTTTGAGGTATCCTTTTCTCTTTGAGATCTCACTCTGTAGTTTATTCTGCTTAAATGTAACATAATTATTTCCCAGTGCTGATGGCACTTAGGACTGGCCCCATGATCTTTTGTCACATGATTACCATAAATAACACTTCTAACTTCCCACAGATAGAAAATATTTGGTGGTTGCTGGTTTATGTACAGACTAGAATCCATGTCAGTGAGTTTACTTTTTTCCTTTTCAAAAGAGCCCAAGAGTGTGTTCCGTACTGGGTGGATCCGCACCAGCTCCATCTGGAAGAAGCCGGGCTTGGAGGAAGCGATGGAGAGCGCGTGTGCAATGCGAGACTCCTTCCTCGGAAGCATCCCTGGCAAGAATGCAGCTGAGTACGAGGTTATCATTGTTATAGAGCCTGGGCTGCTTTTTGAGATAATAGAGGTGAGCAGTAGTTGGTGACTTTTGAAAGGGTGTTAGTATTAGACAACTTCTCCTGAAATTTGTTTTTAAAATCCTTGCATAAGATTTTTTTTCAATTTAGAAATTAGTATTTCTGTCTCCTGATACTACCACTGATTCTGTGCTCCTTCCCTTTCTAAAGAAACACATTCTCTGGGGCGATTTATAAGCCAGGACCAGGAAGGTATAATAAAGTTGTAATAGCAGTGCAAGCCCTCAGGACCATTTAGACTAAAGATGACATACAAACCCATGGCAGTAATATCAGAATACACAAGAAGGGGGAGTTTTGTGCTAAGGAACTGACTTTCGGAGAATTTTATCAATCTAGACCAGATTCAGAACAAATCCCAAGGATTTCGTCCATCTTTTTCTCATGAGATGTGGAGAAATTTCATTTGCTCCAGCAAGTTAGCTTTTCATCTCAAAGCATCATCCTACTTTATTTCCAAAAGGGCCATCGGAATTTCTTCTTGGAATTCTTAGCAGTTGATCAGATTGGCTTATCACTTAACATTTGACTCAAGAATTTTCTCGTTTTACAGCTTTAGAAGAAAATTGGCAATACATATTTATAAGCTTTACTAGTACCAAAATTTTCTAAAAAAGGATTTTTGCATCTGATTGGTAAGAGTTGAGACTTGAAATAGCTAGTAGGTATAAGGTTATAGATCTGCTAACAGGGAACTGACATTATAGTCACATTTCAGAATATCCAAGTTGGGAAGTTCTGGCCTTTTCATTCTGTGAGTGAAATAAAGACCATTGAAAGTAGGACCTGGTGGAGGCCTGTTTCCCTACATGTCATGTTCCTTTGACTTCATATTTCCAAGTAATAAAATGAAAAAAATACAGCTCGTTTGCATCATTCATATTAAGAAATACTTTGAGATGTAAAAAAAAATGAATATATTTTCTCTAAATATATTTTATACAAAGTAGCTGTATATGAGTTGGTCAAAACCAAATTAATCTTTTTAAAATCTCCAGTTTTCTCATGAGCTGCTTTTAAGGACTTGAAAAATATGAAAGTGTTAGTAGCAAACACCCAAATCAGTGTGCTTGAGGGTTCTGTGCCTTGTGCAGATTCAACCACCAGTCTATTTGTCCAGATAGTATCTCAAGGCCTCTCTAGTGCAGTAAGCAGGAGATGGACAACTGTGGGCTTTAGGCGGGCTGACCTGGGTTGGATTACAGCTCCACCACCTGTTGGTGAGAAACCTGGGCAGCTTCATCTCCCTGGACCTATTTCTAGGTTAAATGTGGATAATTAACGGTGTGTTGTGTTGAGAAATAATGAAAACTTAGCATTTAGCAAAGTGGATGTAACTGGCACAGAGCATACTCATAGTAATTACTGTTGGACATTTTCACTTAAAACCTTTTGTAGTAAGAATTGATGTATTTAATAGTATTGGCCCAGGAGCTGCTGGTACCAAAGCATTCCTTGCTAAACACAAGAATTCACAGTGTCTATTTCTATAACCCTGGTTTATGGTAGTTCAGTGGGTAACTTTCACTGCTTGCTCCCAGATGCTGCAAGCTGAGGAGACTTCTAGCACCTCTCAGTTGAATGAACTGATGATGGCTTCCCAGACAACACTGCTCTCTCAGGAACCACGAGCACTGCCTGCAGATGTAATTGAGCTTAAAGGGACATTCCTAATCAACTTAGAAGGTGAGGTGGGGAGAGTCGGTGTTCCCTGGAGAATGTGTGATAATTACAGGTCCTCTCCAACTTTCCAGTGGACTTTGTTCTAAAGGCTGCTGTTCACTTGACATCTATGGAGGCAGGGACCACCTTTCTAAAGCAGCTCTCTGGAGTCCCACCTGATAATCTTGGGAACGAGGGGCAAGGGTAGAAGAGATTTTCCTTCTTGTCCCGGGACTGAGTATCACTGTATTTGAAGTTTGTGGCCTCACTCCTATTTGGCTCCTCTGGTTAGTGGTGCGCTAGTCCTGCCCAGCCCTGCTGCTCTTCCACATTGATTCTAAAATACACTGTGCACACCCCATTTTTAATGAGTGGTTACTGATTTTTTTTTTTTTTTTTTGGTGGGACACTCGCCGGTGGCCGGGGATCAAACTGGCGCTGCAGAGGCTGTGGGCAGCCTCACAACCCAGCGCTCAACCGCTGTGCCACCAGGGGAGGAGGCCCGGTTACTGACTTTTTAATTGAACTCTTTCTCTCAGTGTTACCTCAAAAGCAACGTTCTGTAGCTGGTTGATAGGGTATTTTTCTCAAACTAATTCATTTCTTATGGAGCAAATGAAGGGCAGAGTGATGTTAACAGAACTAACATGCAGATAGTCTGGGGAAAGTGATGCTGCCTGTGTTTTTCAAAATAGCTCTAGGTACCAGCAGGTGGTAGGAGGTGAATTTAGAGGCATCACTTTAAATCAGAGGCCTGGCAGCAATGACTGGCCTAGTTTCTAGCTTACCTTGCTTTTCAAAATGTTAAAATGCCTTCTTTGTGCAATGACTTAGACATCAGACTGATAACATAGTAATGAGGGCAAATTATTTTCTAAGTGCCTTAAAGTGAAATTTTGTTTCCTTTTGTCCAAATCAAGCTTTAAGTGGGGACGTTGCTGTTGTCACTATAATTTGATTTTTTTTAAATTGGTAATTAAATAATTTATCAGAACTCTGCCTAGATTGAACTAAAGGCGTGCTTTGCCCAAGTACAAACAGAACTCAGTGACTTTGAGAATAACCAGTTCATGTCTCAGGCTGAGATTCCCCAATTCTCTCCAGTAATCAGGCTGTGCAGTCCACTGTCCTGGCCATTGTTATAACGTGAGAGAAGCTGTGTCCCACAGCCTCTCCTGGGCAGGGAGGAGTGAACTTTGAAGAAGGAGCTCCTGCAAATCTAGTTAAGGACTAAGAGCCAGACAGATGAGTGGCCTGTCAAAAACACTCTTTTCTTGGATTCTTTCCTCACAGGTGGTGACATTCGTGAAGAGTCCTCATATAAAGTGATTGTCATGCCAACAACCAAAGAAAAGTGCCCTCGTTGTTGGAAGTATACAGCCCAGTCTTCAGATACACTCTGTCCCCGGTGCGCAGAGGTTGTTGGAAAGTAGCAGCTTACTGGTGCGACAGCTCTCTGCAAGACCCCCACCCCACCGTGCTGACTAGGAGTTCAGAATGGACTGTGCACAATACTGGGAAGAAAGCCAAGATTCAGGTGATGAAGGTCAGAATCAGAACAGTGTTTCCTGTAACTAGATAAAATGTATATACATGCAGAAAAAGATGCAGATGGATGCCATGAGCTAATACAATGAGCATGCTTGCCTTCAAATATGGCTGAGCAGAAATGTTTTATATTTTACGAATTTTTTGACTCAGTATTTAAGTTCTATAATGTTTATAATGTTTAAAAATAAAGGCTTTCTGGAAAAATACTGACTGATGTTGGTACAATCAAGTAAAGTAATGTGGTTTTGAAGGAGAATGGAATAGATACCGTTCCCTTTAGGGATGAAGATTAATTTCCTTTTGTCTTAATAGAAACATCAACCCTTTCAGGATAAGTTAGGTGTGATTGTTTTTGCCTAAGAAGAAAAACAAGTTTGTTACTCTTTTATACAAGAGAGGAAAGAAATCTGCATACATACGTGAATGTTCAGAAGACAACAAGAAAACTGGAAATTTATTGACTGATATACAGAAGCTCATGACAATGAACATAGAATAGCATATACAGGATTTTACTACTTTACAGTACATTACAGCAGGTAATAGAGCATCTTATGAACAGTTCCGTGTTGGATTACAGTCTTTCTAGGGGTGGCTAATCCTACTCAGTAGAAATCTAAATTGCAGAAGCCCCAGAGCCCTACCCTGCAGGGAGAGGCCTCACTGCTGCTCATGAGCACTGCTCATCTCCTATGATGGAATGAAGCACGGCAACTTCTAGGTGGACATGACACTCCACGTAAGCTAGTTTTGTTAAATTTGGGTTTTGTGATCTTTAACTTGCAATTCATCAAGTAAAGTAACTTAAATGAACTTGTTAAATTAAGGTGAAATTTTTTTTTTTGCAAAAGTACAAAGCATTTAGAAGCCTGGGGCTGTGTTCCCTCTGACTCTTCTAGTTCTCCCTCTAAATACAACCTGTAGTGCCAAAGTTAGGGTTATTTGAACACTTGTTTTCCTTGAGCAGTATGCAGTGGAATTTAACAAGGTACATAATGAAGAAAGGCTGCTGCTCATTGTCTTCCCATCAACCTGTAAGTGCAACAAAGCCTGTTTCAGAAACCACCTGCTTGCTTAAGTTCTAATTCCTTTACTTGTGGCTCTTTGTTATTACAGAATATATAGTTATTAGATATTTTTCGTTTTTTCCTATCAGATTTATTTTAAAAGCCCTTGATGAAATAGTAAAATATTTAACTGCTTTTCTTAATTCAATCCAGAAGTCAATTCTAAAATTCTGTGAATGGCAGATTTTAAGATTACAAATCTAACCAGAGACTCAATGATTCGTTAATAGTTCCATGAGCCATATTTCGACTTACTGTGTGTCCTGTTTAACCAATTTTATCTAAAATGCTTATTAGTTACCCCGGCCCCCAAAAATGATAATGGAATCAAAGTGAGGACCTGACTTCAACTTTGATCAGTCTCCCAAATTTCTAAGTGACTTTGTAAAGTCAGCTGCCTTTACGAGGAAGCATGACACTGTCTGGATGGGGCAGAGGCTGAGGTAGGACTGGCTCATGGTCCTTGTCGAGGTCACTGCTATACAGTGTGTGCCTCAGTCAGTATTACAGGCCCTCACCCAGTGTAAGGTTTAACAGCGAAGTTCTTATTTGCATGTGATTTTTAAAATTACTTTACACCAGGATACCCTCACATATCAGACTTTTTTCTTTATATCCATGAAGGACTTTGTACAATTGCTAGAGCTGACTTCTTACAAGGAAGTGAACAAACTTCTGTATCACAGTGAGTTACTATGAGTAACTATTGTGATCGAGACTATCAAGAATTGCACTATATGGCTACATTCCAAAAACATACCATAACAAATACCTGGTATTTTAGAGCACAATGCACTTTAGTTTTAATTTGGTTTTAATCAACAAATAATTGCCAGCTCTTGGACTGCTCTAGGCACTATAGGGTTCAAAATTAGTTTTATATTCTTAACACCGCCATGAGGTAGGTTTGCTAAAGCTGTAGTATCACTGAGCATTTCCTATACTGTTCCCAAGAACAGACAGCATTACCAAATCCCAGAAGCAGACATTTCTAAACACTTGTAGGAAAAACAAAGTTGGACTTAAACATTTTCATTCTTGGCCCTTTTCTGGTAAATAGATTTTACACAATAATGCATTTTTCACAGTACCTGGTGCTACAATCTTGGCAAAAGCAAGTCTTCATTATAATTAACTTCACTGTGTTGCTTGCATCTCGGATTCTGAATTTTGGCAAGAACAGCAGGTTGAGGGCCCCCGTTAGTGTCTCTTCTGGTGATCTTAAACTCATGATTCCTACTCAAGCAGGTCAGCCTCTTCTGATGGCAGCAGCACGACCTCTGGGAAAGGACCCTGTCAACGTCCGGAATTCCAAGTGCAGCCCTGAGTGGGGTTCCATGAAAGCACAAGCATTTCCCCCACATTTCTGAGAGGGGATGTTTCTCGTTCTACTGTTGGAGACTAGATATGAACACATTTACATTTAATTGTATTTTGAGTATGAAATATAGGATCTTTTAAGAACAAAGTTTAACAATGAAACTACTTAAGTGCTCAAATTAGAAATAAACAGTAAAATGTCTGTATTAGTAATAGTATAATTGGTATTTGCTTGTGTTCAGTATTAATCAAAGGAGTGGAATTATCCAGGACTGCTTTTCAAAAGTAATATATATTTTTATTTTACAAAATAAGACATACTCCCCCCCATAAAATTCCAGATCTTACTATGTAAAATAACCATGCACTGAATTATAGCCACAATTTTGGACAGGTGTCAGTAGCTAGGTGTCATAAAGTAGGCATAGATATGGCTTCGACAGCTTCCACAAGGTGCAAGGCTAGAGTGTACTGCCCATGGTTTTCTGGCAGAAGCTCCACCACTCTATGTACTAGTTTAGCTGTTGTTGCAATTGGCACTTCAGTGTTTTGAAGATCTTGAGGGTCCTGCAAACGGGACACAAAAATAATCCATGCAGTATATACAATAATAATTTCTCTTAAAGTGAAGTTACCAGGATAGTTATTTCCCAACAAAAATGCTTTTCCCTAGAAAAGCATTTGTGAGTATCTCACAAATTTTCTTAATCAAAATTAAATAGAAACTTAGGAAAATAGCCAATGACCTTTTGGCCTCTCCCTATTGTGCTTACCATTGCTTTTAGCCAAGTGCAGAGAGTGGGTGGCAGCCTGGCCAGCAGCTCCATGCCTTCCTTAGTCTGGGTGTGCAGAAGCGTGTAGGCCAGCCTCTGCCCGGTCAGCATCAGTAGATGAGAGGCCAAGACCTCTTTGTCACGAACCTGGAGAATGGCCTGAGGACACGAACAGGGGCAAATACATAGTGAGAGCTGACAGTCTGAGTCTGGGAAAGGCACTGCCCAGGAAGAGATCATGGTCATTCTTGAGCTATAGCCATGACTACAAACTTAGCATTTAAACTCCAAATTTCTGCTCATCACCTACATTTTTATCACCTGATCTTTCAGTTCATTTTCAAGCTTTTGGCAAAGAAAGGGAATTGAATTAGGTGATATAACTGCTCGAAAGTCTCTAATGGCTTTTGAATGCACCGGGCGAAATCCTGGGCCACAAGATCCTTGAGGACTTGGCCAACCTCCACCCCCTCTGTGCTTTCTGTGTACTATTTCACTGTTGCCTAGTTTTGAGTGCAGTGGTTGCCTTCACTCTGGTACTCAGTTCAGACATCACTCTGACCAATATTATGGTAGCTCATATTTTATTCATATGAACCTGTTTGTGCCCCCTCCCCCCGCATTTATCATTTAATACAAAAGTGGCTGCTCTATCAATTCCATGAGGAAGGATCCTGCTCCCTCTGCATGAAATAGGCCTGTCATACCACGGAGTTTTACTAAACAAGGATCAGAAACAGCCCTGATTAAAGTGTTGTATTTAACTATTCTATTCTGTTTCTAAGCCTAGGAACTAATAAAAGGAAAAGCTAAAAGTTTATCACAGACTTTTGCTGATTCAATTTTACATTAACAGGATCATGATCACCTCTTCTCCCAAATGGTCGACTCCATAGTTGTAGAGCTCCCCCACGTAATGCCGTCTGACGACATCTTCACTAACTTGGAGGTGAAGGGCCAAGTACACAGCTAGCGCAGGCCAATCTGGGTCGTTCCCAAAAGGAGAGATCGGTGCTTCCTCTGAGGAGTCTTTGTCCTTCATGACTGCATGCTGGGCCTGGACAGCTGCACTGACAACTTTCAGTAAGAACTTGAAAATGGAGACAGAAATGGCAACATCTCAGTGTCTAAGTCAAAAGTAATTGTTGAGCTTTCTGTCAATTAGAGTAGCTTTTCTATTGAAATTATCAGTTGAAAGGGAAATTAATTATCAGTTAAAATTTCAAAAATTGCCTTGGTAGTGGCTATCCTTCAAAGGACAGCCAGATACTGTTTTCTTTTCCCCCAAGAAACAAAATCAAAATCCAGTGTCTGTAAATTACCTGTTGTCGTAGTAAGATAAAATTTGGATCCATTTCCCCACTAGGTAGTAACTGAATTGAAGTCAGGTCTTTGAAAAATGCATTTTTTCCCTAAAGAGAAAAGAGCTGATTGAGTATGGATTGATAAGGAGGGGGGGAGAGGAGGGTGGTAAGGATTTTACTCATTTTTTTACAATTATCCAGTGTGGGGATGACAGTGATTAAGGTGGCCCCAGGCATCCCTCCTCCTGTCCTCATTCCCAGTGGACTCCCCTTCCCTTGAGTAGGCTGGTGACTCACTGCTGACAAGCAGAATCAGACAGTGGTAACAGTGTTCTTCCAAGACTAGTTCACGAAAGGACAGTGGTTTCTGCCCTGGGTGCCCAAACCCACTCTCACTGGCTCTGAGGGGAGCCCACTGTGAGCTGCCTGATGGAAAGCACTCTCGACTAGGCGCCGGATCCCACCCATCCCTTCAGGTAAGGCCCCTGCCCAGCCCAGCTTTGAGATGAGACCTTAACCCTCTCATGAGGGAAACTCAGATTCCTCACCTACAAAAATAATAAACATTTGTGCTCTTAGCCACTATATTCCAGGATAATATATTTTGCAATAAGACAGAACTAGTACTTAACCTATACTGATTAAAAGAAAAATCCTTCTGAACTGTTATAAAACAAAGGTCTCAGAACACAGGATTTCAGAAGTTCCTTGGCATGAAATTCATCACAGAGCAAAGCTGAACCTGAGACTTAGGTGGGCCTCCG